CAGCACAGATGACAGCACCTATCATTTCTTTTGTTTGTTTGTTTTTGAGACAGAGTCTGGCTCTGTCGCCCAGGCTGGGGTGCAGTGGCCGGATCTCAGCTCACTGCAAGCTCCGCCTCCTGGGTTTACACCATTCTCCTGCCTCAGCCTCTGGAGTAGCTGGGACTACAGGTGCCCGCCACCTCGCCCAGCTAGTTTTTTGTATTTTTTAGTAGAGACGGGGTTTCACCGTGTTAGTCAGGATGGTCTCGATCTCCTGACCTAGTGATCCGCCCGTCTTGGCCTCCCAAAGTGCTGGGATTACAGGCTTGAGCCACCGCGCCCGGCCTACACCTATCATTTCTTAAGGAGAAGACGACCACACTTACCTATGCCCATGTGCCTGCCCTTCCGGCGGGCCAAGGTATTTTTCCGGCATCGAGCCCGGGAATGGACCGTCACAGGCTTGCGGATGATCAGCCCATCTTTGATCAGCTTTCGGATCTGCTGACCTGGGAAAGCATAATGCACCTGGTCAGTCAACTGGGGCCCAAGCACATCCCAGAATCCAAATAGGCCAGGCCACAGACACTGCTCACATTCTTGGCCCCATGCTCTCAAAAAGGATGGAAACACTGGAACTTGTTTATTTCTTGCCTTCGAAAATCCAAAAAACCTCTTTTCTTTTTTCTTCACAAACAGAAGTTGTGAGAGATACTCTTTGTCTGAGACAGTCTCCCTATGTTGCCCAGGTCGGTCTTGAACTCCTGGGCTCACAATCCTCCTGCCTTAGCTTCCCAAGTAGCTGGGATTACAGATGCCTGCCACTATGGCTGGCCATTTCTACCTTTTAAATATATCACAGCACACTCAAAACAACAAGCCTGATACAATGACTCCTCCATTTTATAGATACTCTGAACGTACCTTTCTAGGTTTGTAAAGAGTCAACACAAGCTAGGTATGCTGGATTATGTTTGTAATCCCAGTACTCTGGGAGGCTGAGGTAGGTGGATGACCTGAGGTCAGGAGTTTGAGATCAGCCTGACCAATATGATGAAACCCCATCTCTACTAAAGATACAAAAATTAGCCGGGTGTGGTGGCACGTGCCTTAGTCCCAGCTACTTGGGAGACTGAGGCAGGAGAATCGCTTGAACCTGGGAGGCAGAGGTTGCAGTGAGCTGAGATCCTACCACTGCACTCCAGTCCGGGTGACAAAGGGAGACTCCATCTCATAAAAAATAAAATAAAAAATAAAGAGTAAATTAGCTGGGCGTGGTAGTGCACACCTCTAATCCCAGCTACTCAGGAAGCTGAGGCGGGAGAATCACTTGAGCCTGGGAGCAGGGGTTGCAACGATGAGATGGCACTACACTCCAGCCTGGGCAACAGAACCAGACTGTCTCCCAAAAAAAAAAAAAAAAAAAAGTCAACACAACTGTGTTATCGTTCATATGACGCAGGACAAAAGAAGGAAGTAGGGTGAAGAGACAGATCCCAGGTACTCACGGGAGTTGGCATTGGCGATTTCATTGGTCTCATTGGGGTCTAACCAGACCTTCTTCTTGCCACAGCGGAGGACACTAGAGGCGAGCCTCTTCTGAAGCCTGAGCATACTAGATACACAGAAAACATGATTAGACTCTGAAAGCCACTCCTGGGCAAGAATGAACATCCCCATCAACACCTGCCCTCTGCGACCCACACGACAGCCGCGAAATAAGACTCTTCCCTAAATCATCTTTAAGGCTCTGGGCTGTGCAGCTGGTCCCCTTGGGTTTAGACTTCAAAGCCCACGCTATGCCTTCCACCTCTTGGAGCCTCATGTTCGCATTTCTTCTCTGGAAAATCAAGTCAAGGATTTACTGGAACGAATAGGGGGCTTATGCCATTTCTGGTACTCAGCGTTTGAAAAATATTCGAGGCGCGTAGACCTGATTTCTAGTCTAGCAATCCAGGCAAGTTAATGTTTTCTGGGCTCATTTTCCCGTTTTATCACAGTAACAAGCCTCGTTCGGCCATTTGTAGAGATTTCCTTTATGAATGCCAAAGGAGTGGAAGGTGTCAAGAGTTAGAGATCACGTCTCTCGGCAGTCGGAGGCCTGGGGCCTACACTAGGCTTGCCTTAGGTCACGTGAAAGCACATCTGCTCCGCTCCGGGCGTGCCAAGCAAGAAAGGGTCCAAGGCTCGGTCCCGTTCGCTACGTTTGCTTTGCTCGCGTGGGTCGACTGGACACATGTGCGGCGCGCCGCCACCCAAGGCAGCCTTTTCTGGGTCTCAGTTGCTGCGACGCTCCCCGCCCCCCCCCACCCCGGAGGCCCGGGACGAGAGTGCTCCGGCCTACCCCAAACCCCGGGACCGGCCGCTTTAGGGCGGCCTCCATTTCATCTCCCCCAACCCCGGCTGCGGTCCCAAGCCCAACAGTCCCCCGCCGAAAAGCGTCAGCGCCTGCGGGAGACCAGCGCGCCCTCACCTCATGGCTGCGGCCGCAGCAGCGAAAGGAAAGAGCTCTCTCGGGACCGGCTCCTCCCATTATCTGAGAAGGGGAGAGCCCAACCCCCTCTCCAATTTCGTCCGTATTCCCGTCCGGTTCTTTCATCTTCCGCCACGCCAAACTCATTCATAGCCTCCGTATAGGCCTGAAATGATAAAAGCCTAATATCAGAAATCGGTTTTAAACTTAAAAACATAGAAAATGTACCCCTTCCGTAGGGAAAGTGGTATAGTCCGACTTCCTACTAGACATGCGCAGCAAGGGTACGCGATCACGTGGTTATTTTAACCGGAAGTCAGCTGGATTGCGCAGGCGGAGTGAGAGAGGATTTGCTAGAGTGGCTTGGTGTTTGCGGGCGTTCGGCCGGTTGTGGGTGGATGGTTTATTAGTTGAGAAAAAAAGTCAGTTGAAGAAGCGAGAGAGAATGACAACAGGTATCAGACAAAGGCGACCTCTTATTCACTCTCTTAGTAGATTGAAAACCCCTAGAATGCAGAATAGATCACTAAAAGAAGTTAGTGTTTTTACGCCGCTGCGGGTCTTTAATTTCTTGGTGCCTCAATTTCCTCCTCTGTAAAGTGGACCTAATCCCAATGTTTCTATCATCAGTTGTGGAAATTACGTGAGGTAATATTTGCAATTAGTAAAGGAAGGCATTAAGACAGCAAGCTCTTGGAGGGCGAGAACTAGTCTCGTAGTCTCGTTTGGCTCACAGCTGTACTGCGGTAGGCATGGATCCGCGATCGAACACACCTGAGAAATACTGCACTGGCTGAATGGATGAATGATTGCAGAAAGTAAAATTTAAAAAAAAAAAAAAATTGGGCCGGGCTCGCTGGCTCACGCCTGTAATCCCAGCACTTTGGGAGGCCAAAGCGGGTGGATCAGTTGAGGTCAGGAGTTCGAGACCAGCCTGGCCAACATGGCGAAACCCTGTCTCCACTAAAAATACAAAAATTAGCCGGGCGTAGCGGCGCGTGCTTGTAATTCCAGCTACTGGGGAGGCTGAGGCAGGAGAATCGCTTGAACCCAGGAGGCGGAGGTTGCAGTGAGCCGAGATTGTGCGACTGCACTCCAGCCTGGGCAACAGAGTGAGATTCAGTCTCAAAAAAAATAAAAAAAAGAAATGGCAAGACCACTCAGTTCTTCTGATCTGGAACACCCAATGCAAAAATCCAAGGAGAGCATTCTGGGGTTTAAGAAGTCTACATCTGAATTGAGGCTCCAACTCATCATTGGTTCCCGCTGATCACCCTATCCGTTTCATCTCAACTTTCCTGGCTGAGAAAGTAGAAGAAAGAGAAAGGGAAGCTACATTTATGCTACTTCCTCACAACAACACAATTAGCGTTGCCCTCATTTTACAGCTGAGGTAACAGATTGAGAACGCAGGTATTTCTGATTGCAAAGCCCATGCTTTTGCGGTTATGCCAGGCTTTCTCCAAGGGGCAGGTGGAAGCCCTGCTCAGGATTGGAGCTCTCCTGGAACGTTTCTAATGGGCTTTATCTTCACTCACTGCTCCTCCTTCCCCGAAGGTGTTGTGACCAGAGGAATGACAGACCGGCCATTCACTTGTTATCAGAGGTGAGGAGGAGGAGTCCCATAGTCTCGTCTCCTGCAGAACACAGCAAGCTGGTGGCCTTACTTTAAGGTCACTTGACCTGGAGAGGGTCTTCTCCACCTCTCCTTTCTGTGGAGCAGGAGCAGGGGTGGAGTAGGGAGGGAATGGGTCCTCCTGTCATGGCTGACTCCTTCATTGAAACTTACAGCTTCTCCAAACACCCTAGCAATTCATTTAATTCCCTCATCCTCCCAATAATCCCAGGTGACACAGACTCCACAGTACCAGCAACCACATTTTATAGGAAAGGAGAAAACTGGTGCTTAGAGAGGTGGTTTGTCCAGGGCTATACAACCAGAAACAGCCTGAGCCAAATTGGCACCAGGGTCTATTGCCCAGAATCTCCTATTCCTCCTCTCTCCACCTGTCATGGTGGGTGGAGTCCAGACCTTGGATGTTTGTCCCTAAATCAGGGGTAAAGGTGGAGCAATTCTAGGTCAAAGGTCATGAGATCTGATTTTACCAGCCTCTTCTTTCTCAGCTCCATATTGCTTCCTCTTTTCTCATCCAACAGCAGGGACTTCGCCCAGCCCCATTCATGGCCTTTGGAGGAGCGGGTCAGGGGTGGGGGTGGGGGGGCGTGTATCCTAGTGACCGATTAGGCTAGAACTCCTGGACCCCTGGGATTTCTTTTGTTGTCGCTGTTGGACACCCTCCCCATCTCAGCCTCAGCCTCCCACCGGCAGCCCCAGAGCCATGTTGGAGGGGAAGAGGCTTTTCTGTTTGGTTTAAGGCAGCCTGGGCCCCGCACTGGGGAGAAAGGAGTTAAAGCCAGGTCCCAGGATCACCGGGACCGGGAAGTTCTGGTGGCCCAAACAGGAGTGGGTTGGGGGGACCCGCAGGAAGATAGGTTTGAGACAAAAGGGGGGCGGTGCTAGCCATGCCAGTCCGCGCTTCATCCCCATCAGCGCTCAGCATCCACTGGTAGACCGCCCCCCACCCCTTCCCTAAGTATCCACGCCTAGTTTCTCCCTTCCCGCCCCAGCGGGCCGCCTGCACCCCACGGCCAGTCAGAGGCCCACCTGCGGCCCTCTAGAGCCGAGAGGCGCTTGCCTCCCAGCTTGCCGCACGCCCATTGTGTGCGCCGAGCCGGAGGAGGGGCTGCGAGGGGCGGGGCCGGGGCGGGCGGAGGGAGGGAGCGAGGGAGGGCCGCGGGGAGATGCTGAGCCTGCTGGGGAGGCGGCGGCGGCAGTGGAGAGAGCGGGAGGAGCGAGGGAAGGCAGGAAGGAGGCAGCCGAAGGCCGAGCTGGGTGGCTGGACCGGGTGCTGGCTGCGCCGCGCTGCTCTCGGCTCCCACGGCCTCTCCCATGCGCTGAGGGCGTCCGGCTGGGCCGGGCGGGCGGCGGGAGGGGAGGCTCCTCTCCATGGTCCAGAAGACCGGCATGTCCCGGGGCCCTTACCCACCCTCCCAGGAGATCCCCATGGAGGTCTTCGACCCCAGCCCGCAGGTGAGGCGTGGTGGCCCGGCCCGAGAGGAGGGGGCCGCTCCCACGGACGGTGTTGAGGTCGGCTCGAAAGGCGCGGGAGAGGAAGGGGTTATATGCTGGGCGCGAAGGGGAGAGGGATGCCTGCGCGTCCCCGATCCTTGCAGGTTGTGATTGATGGGCTCTGGGCCTGGGGCTGGGTGGCGATGCTGCGGAGCGGGAAGGGGGCGGGTGGGCTGCCTGTCACCCTCGCCTCCTTGTCTCCCCCGCGTCAAGGTTCCTGCCGCTTGGGCACCAGCTTCAGTGGGCTGAGCGTAGGGGTGCTGGTGGTGGTGGGATCTGGGCCTTGAGAAGGGGAGGTTGAAGGAGGCTAGAAAGCGAGCCAGGCAAGGGGGGCGACGCAGAGCACGCTCGGGGGCGCCAGGCGGGTGTGGGTGGGGCGGAGGTGGCACGAGGAGGTGGCCGAGGCGATGGTCAGAGGGCGGTGCCAAATGCAAACAGGCCTTCAGAGCCGCAGACACTGGATCTTGAGGGTGGGGAAAGGGCCAACTCCGGGCGAGGTCCCCTCCCAGCCACCTGGGCTCCATCTCCATGTCGGACCTGCTCCCCACCCCCCACACCCACGTTGACTTACCCCACCCCCACCCCCGCCCTGAAAACGCCTCCAAAGTTTGGAAAGTTGGATGGATGCCAACTCACTGCCCTGGAGGGGGAAGAGCTGTTTTACCTGGGGGAGGGGTCTACTTCTCCACCCCTACCCGCACACTTTTCTTATGCCCCTGGTAACCCCTAGGAAGTGGCATTCTTGGGCGCGGTGGGTTCCCATGGGGTGACCAGCAGGCTCTGGGATGGTCGCGCCAGGGGATTTCTTTGGGACTGTCCTTCTCCAAGGATAGCATTAACTCTTCTGTTACTGTGGCCACCAGCTGAAACCACCATGATAATGTGATTGATGGGTATGTAGAGGGGTCAAGTCAGACCTAAAAATACCTTCCTCCACCCCAGGCCCCTTTGAGCCTGGGAGGCAGCTGACTGGGGCCTTCCTTTCAGCTGTCCCCTGTCCCTCTGAGTGCCACTCCCTTTGCCCAGCCTGGCAGTGCTGGGGGAGGGTGGTGTCTGGGATTCACTGGGGAATCCTCTTAGGTTTGTAGGGAGCGCCAGAACTAGAGTTGGGGTATATGTCTGGTTTGAGAGAAGGGTGGGGAGAGGAGGATCTTGGAAAGGTCCCCAGGTGCCCTCCTCTCCCATTTTCCATCCTCTTTCTTGTACCCTGATCCCAGCAGCCAAAGCCCCCAGTCTGGTCATGGCCCCTCCAGGTTCTTTGGCCAAAGAAGGTCTAGGATGGAGACCGAGAGCAGGGACTTGGAAGTCTGAGCCCTCACTCACTCTCCCCATTCTGGACTGGGCTGAGGCCAAGTGTGTGTGCGCCTACGAGATGGGGAGGGCCAGAAGCAGCTCTTCTTACAGGAGGCCTGGAAATACCTGACGCCCTTAACATGAACGTGTTGCTTCCTGAATGGTCAGGCTGAGCCAGGAGCTGGGTCTGTGAGACTGAGCCAGCCAGTATACCCGCTAGGGATCTGTGGGGCTGTGTCCTAGGCTCATGTGGGGTGGGGCCGAGGGACATTTAGATTGATAGAGTCTGATGGGTACCATGCACATGGGGCGTTGGTAGTGGCAGCTGGGGGCCACAGGGTAGAAGCTTCATCCCTCTTGCCTCCTTGGGGAGGGTTGTAGCTACTGTGATTGTGAGAGAGGGAGCTGAGAAAAAGTCCTGTCTGGGCAAGGGATGAGAGTGGGGAGCAAAATCTGCCCCTATGGTGCCAGGGATCGGGCTGGATGTTTACTCTCCAAATACAGTTCCATGCCCCTACTCCCTCCCCAGAAATCTGGCTCTGAGCCTCCAAGAGAGCTGTCATCCCCTCCCTACTCTGTGAATAGCAAAGGAAGAGTTGGGCACAGGGGAGAAGCCAGGCTGGGCCCTGGGTTGGCAGTTCCTCCTCTCTGGGGGCCACCAACACAAACAGCCCTGCTCTGCTCCTGCGGAGGGGAAGTGGGGGGGACTTTCCTGCTCCCCCCCCCCCCCACACACACAGCACTGCCGGCTGCCTCTCCCTTCCTCGGAGGCCTCTGCAGCCTGCCCAGCATCTTAATTAGCTCTGCTGCCTAATGAGCCTCCAGCTTCTCCGTGCCTCCCCCATTCCCAGCCTCTCTAGCTTGGTTTGGGGGTTTCCATGTGGGCCTCCCAGGGCTCTCTTGCATTGGTCCCCACTTCTGGCTGTGCTCTGGGTCCTCTCTATGAGGATGGGAGACCCTCCCTCCCCTTGGGCCGCACCACCTCAGGAGGAAGGTGCAGGGGCTTGGGGGTAGGGCTCTTTGGATCTGGGAATGCTGTTCCCGAGCTTGGCTGTAGCTCTGGGGCTGGCAAGATGAGGGTTGGGAAAGGGCCCTTCTGATTCTACTCTTGTTCCTTTCCTGGCCTCTCCAGGGCAAATACAGCAAGAGGAAAGGGCGATTCAAACGGTCGGATGGGAGCACGTCCTCAGATACCACATCCAACAGCTTTGTCCGCCAGGTAATGGGGAGGCTGGGCAGAGAGGAGGGAGGTGGCCGGTTGGTAGAGACCAGTGTTGGTGAGCCAGGTCTGCGGTATTCTCCAGGCACCCTTCCCTGTGCCATTTGTCACCTTCCTGGAGCCACCCTGTCACCCTGACACCCCATGACCTCTCCTGGATATGCTGTCAGCTGCACCCACTCGCTCAGCCCCCGCCCCTGCCCGGCCCCTCCCCCAGCACCAGGCACCCTCCCCTGCTGCCTGCTGGCCTGCGTCATCTCATTCAGGGACAGCCTGGCCTGCCTCCCTCTAGCTTGCTTTGGGCTGTCACCCACTCCCCCTGCCGGCTGTCTGCTTCCATGTCCTCCCCCAGAATCTGTGACAGGGTGGGGTAGAGGCAGGTCCTAGGAAAAGCAGAGCGAGGATGTTTGGGTCCCTGTAGTCCTGGTGAGGTCCTGGTCAGGGAAACACGCTCCTCACCTCAAGACATGACTATCTAAGAGGCACAGAGAAAGGGTGATGGTGACGGGGATGGGGGTGGTTGAGGCATGAGGCTGTTAATTTTATAATAGAGAAGATGGTAGCCCAGCACCACTGCCTGAAAGGGTGTAACTGAGAGTAGCTTTCTGGGGTCTCCTGTGCTTGGTCAGTAAGCGGCTGCTATCATCTCTCTGTCAATCCCGAGCCATCTTAGGCTTAGGGTGAGGCACGGAGAGAGGCATGTGGTTGCTATGACTACTTAGCATCTCACCAAAGCCTGGTACCCAAAAAAGGCGAGAGGGGCTTGGAATTAGACAAGGAAAAGGTGTGCATTGAAGAGGAAATGGGCAGGGCATTCGAGGGCAGAAGATAGCACAGAGGAGGGGTCCTCTGGAGATGAGCCCCTCCCTTCCACCTTGGGCCAGGAGCGAGAGTGATGCCAGGCAGATCCACCACTAATTAGAGTGAGGCCCTTCTTTCTGATTCTTCTGTCTCTACAGCACTTGGCACATGTGAGCCTCAGTCTGACTTGGGAGCTTCGGGAAGGGGAGGCTTCATTCTAGTCTTTTCTAAGTATAGGAACAGACAGGAAGTCCTTTCTTCAATCACTCCCTCATCCCTCCTGTTGCAGGACTTGGCCAGGGCTAGGAAGAATGACGCTGTGCTTTTATTGCCCCTCTTGGCAGAAAAGGACCTTGGCTCCTTCAGTGTTTGCCAACCCAGGGAGTCAGACCCCAGCCTCCAATTCTTCCTCCTTTTAGCTCCCCAGCTCTGATCCCCGGTAGTTGGTGGGGAGTGGTGGGGGAGCAGTCCTTGCCACATCTCTGAGCTAAATATACCCTAGCAGTTTGCACATGTAGCAACTCTGCTTGTAACCTGAGCCCCCGAGGGAACGGGCAGTTTGGGCCACCCCCTAGGCCAGCAGGGCCAGGCACTGAGGGCGCCGGGATGGAGGCGCCCAGCCGGACCCTGGTGGTGGTGAGCTGGGGATGGAATGGGGTGGCGGCGGGTAGAACAGCCTCTCAGGAAAGCTGGCGGAGGGCGGCCTTTCCTCCAGCCTGTCTCCATGCCTCCTCACTGTTTCCTGTCTTCTGCCATTTCTGATGTGTGCGTGTGTATGTGCATGCGTGTGTCTGCATATGTGTATGTGTGCATGTGCCTACGTGTGCGTCTGCGTGCACCTGTGTGTCTGCATATGTGTGTGTCTGCATGTGTGCATGTAACTGTGTGTGTGTTGGGGTCGGTGAGTGTGCGCGTGCATGTGCCTGCATCTGTGTTGGAGTTGGTGAGTGTGTGTGTGTGAATGCGCGTGCCCGCGTGTGTGTTGGGGTCGATGAGTGCCTCTCTGCTAGTCTGTCTCCCTGTTTCCCTGGCTCTTTGACTCTGTGTGCTCCCATCAGGGTGGAGAGTGGGAGCTACGCTGGTTTTCTCTCCCTCCTTCATGCCTCTCACCCCACCCCAACCCTTGCCCTGCGGGTCTCCCATTTTCATGATTTGGCTGGGAAAGAGATGGGCAGCTGCACCAGCTAATGACCTGGGGCCCCTGGGGAGAGGTGAGACTTTGTCTTCTGTCTTTCCCAGGTCCCCTCCATGCCAAACTCATGGACATTCCTGGCCAAGTGACCCTTTTATACCCTCAGGAAAGAACCCCTATATCTCTGCAGTCCTCCTCTTTTGCCACATAACCTCCTATGCCTTGTCCAACACCACCCCCACATAGTCACACGAATCCACACTTTCTTACTCCTGCCCTCACATGTCCCCCACCCTCAGGGTCATAGATATCTGGGAGCCCCCCGCCAATACACTCGCATGTGGCTCTACACATGAGGTCATATGTAGCCAACTATAGAGCACGCCCTCCTCCACACACTTGTATTTGCACATCCACGCACACACGTGAATAAGTACATGCATTCCCACTACCAGATCTGTATGGTGGACGTGTCTTACACATATGTGTGCATCCCTAAAGGAGTCCCTTGTGCTCTGGGTTGGTCACTGTGGTCAAAGCCAGCTGCCTGGCACCCAGCAGCCCTCATCTCAGGGAAAGCCCTGTCCCATATCCTGCTCTTAACTTGCCTCTTCAGTCTGCACCAGCCTGGAAATCTTGGGTTCTCTTGTCCTAGGAGAGCCTGAGGATTGGGGCTCTAAGTAGTGAAGTTTGATTCTGGCAGTACCAGCTAAAGGAGCAGGGGAGGTAGGAGTCTATCTCCCTCTACCCTTGAACAAGTTGGCAAAATCTGTGGTGGCCCCATCCTGTGGAGCAGGCCATCCGCGGCTGACAGTGCAGAGAGCTCAGGCCGAGGCTGGTGGCTGCAGTCCCTGGAATGGATGCCACTGGACCTCGGCTGAGTCTATCTCAGCGGGTGCTGGGGGCAGGGGAGGGAAGGAGCAGTGGGAGTAGAGACTCGTCCCTGGCATTCCTCCCTTGCCTTGTGCCCCTATCAGGTTCCCACCCCTCCCTGGGCCCCAAGCAGCTGTTCTTGGGCCTGCCTTCATCCCCTGCTTGCTGCTGTCACCCTCACTAGGGCCACACTTTCCCCAGGGGCCTGAGAAATCTCAGCTCCTGGTCCCTTCCACCTAATACCACCTTCTCTTAGCCCTTGTGGCGTCATGCTGGGCTGGCTGGGGCTTGAGGCATCCATGATGTGTGGCGCCTCCATGCCTTCCCAGGCCCAGGAGCTGGGAGAGGCAGCAATGGCCCTGATCTGGCTCTCTGTATTTTCAGGGCTCAGCAGAGTCCTACACCAGCCGTCCATCGGACTCTGATGTATCTCTGGAGGAGGACCGGGAAGCCTTAAGGAAGGAAGCAGAGCGCCAGGCATTAGCGCAGCTCGAGAAGGCCAAGGTGAGAAAGATGTGGGAAGGGGCATGCTGGCATGATTTCCCTGGGCCATAGAGAGAGCCCGGGCAGACCCAGGGCCAAGTCTTGACTCAGCCACTTCCTAGTACCCCTGAACCTTGCGCCTCTGTCTTCACCTGCACAACGTGGGCTATAATACCTGCCTGCTTATACAGTACAATAAGTATAATAAGTGCCTGTTATTATACTGTTTCCACACACAATAAGCGCTTGAGAAGTGCTAAAAATTTCTTTTTCTTTTCTTTTTTTTTTTTTTTTTGAGATGCAGTCTTGCTCTGTCACCCAGGCTGGCATGCAGTGGTGTGATCTCAGCTCACTGCAACCTCCACCTCCCGAGTTCAAGTGATTCTCCTGTCTCAGCCTCCCAAATAGCTGGGATTACAGGTGTGCACCACCATGCCCGGCTAATTTTTGTATTTTTAGTAGAAACGTGGTTTTACCATGTTGGCCAGGCTAGTCTCAAACTCCTGACCTCAAGTGATCTGCCCACCTCAGCCTCCCAAAGTGCTGGGATTACAGGCGTGAGCCACTGCGCCGGGACAGTGCTAAAATCTCCACGTCTTCCTGGAATCAAACTTCCTCTGGGCTGGAATCCTGGTCCTGACTCTTTTTTTTTTTTTTTTCTTTTTTTTTGAGACGGAGTTTTGCTTTTGTTGCCCAGGCTAGAGTGCAATGGCGTGATCTCGACACACTGCAACCTCCCCTTCCTGGGTTCAAGCGATTCTCCTGCCTCAGCCTCCTGAGTAGCTGGGATTATAGGCATGCTCCACCATGCCTGGCTAATTTTGTATTTTTAGTAGAGATGGGGTTTCTCCATGTTGGTCAGGCTGGTCTTGAACTCCCGATCTCAGGTGATCAGCCAGCCTCAGTCTTCCAAAGTGCTGCGATTACAGGCTCTAGTCCTGACTGTTAATAGCTGTGTGATCTTAGGAAATTCACATTAAAAGGAAGATAATAATACCACTTAACTTCAGAGGATTTTTTATTTTTGTGATGAATATAAATGAGAAAATATGTGTGAAGCATGTAACATGGTACCTGGGACACTAAATGGTCATTACTGTCATTATTGTTTTTTTTTTAATTTAATTTTAGGCCAGGTCCAGTGGCTCATGCCTGTAATCCCAGCACTTTGGGAGGCCAGGTTGGGTGGATCACTTGAGGTCAGGAGTTCGAGACCAGCTTGGGCAACATGGTGAAACCCCGTCTCTACTAAAAGTACAAAACTTAGCTGGGTGTGGTGGCGTACGCTCTAATCCCAGTTACTCAGGAGGCTGAGGCATCAGAATCGCTTGAACTCAGGAGGCGGAGACTGGAGTGAGCCGAGATTGCGCCACTGCACTCCAGCCTGGGCAACAGAGCGAGACTCTGTCTCAAAAAACATAATAATAAATAAATTTAAATATTTATTATTTTTTATGAGACAGGGTCTCGCTCTGTCACTCAGGCTGAGTGTAGTGGTGTGATCACGGATCACTGGAGGCTTGACCTCCCAGGCTCAAGTGATCCTCCCATCTCAGCCTCCCGAGTAGCTGGAACTATAGAGGCGTACCACCACACCTGGCTGATTTTTTATTTTTTGTAGAGATGGGATCTTGCTATGTTGCCCAGGCTAGTCTTGAACTCCTGGGTGCAAGTGATCCTCCTGCCTCGGCCTCCCAAAGTGCTAGGGTTACAGGCATGAGCCACTGTGCCCAGCCCCTTTTATTTATTTATTTATTTTTGAGATAGAATCTCGCACTGCCGCCCAGGCTGGGGTGCAGCGGTGCGATCTCAGCTCACTGCAGCCTCCGTCTCCCAGGTTCAATTGATTCTCCTTGCCTCAGCTTCCCAAATAGCTGGGATTATAGGTGCCTGCCACCATGCCCAGCTAATTTTTTTTGTATTTTTAGTAGAGACGGGGTTTCACCATGTTGGCCAGGCTGGTCTCAAACTCCTGACCTTGTGATCCACCCACCTTGGCCTCCCAAAGTGCTAGGATTACAGGCGTAAGCCACCGTTCCCAGCTGCCCCTTTTATTTTTTAAAAACAGACAGGGTTGGCTGGGTGCGGTGGCTCATGCCTGTAATCCTAGCACTTTGGGAGGCTGAGGTAGGCGATTACCTGAGGTCGGGCATTTGAGACCAGCCTGACCAACATGGAGAAACCCTGTCTCTACTAAAAATGCAAAAATTAGCCGGGCATGGTGGTACATGCCTGTAATCCCAGCTACTTGGGAGGCTGAGGCAGGAGAATGGCTTGAACCAAGGAGGCAGAGTTTGTGGTGAGCCGAGATTGCGCCATTGCACTCCACCCTGGGCAACAAGAGCAAAACTCCGTTTCAAAACAAACAAACAAAAAACAGACAGGATGTCACTATATTGCTCAGGCTGGTCTCAGACTCCTGGCCTCATGCCAGTATTGGGATTACAGGTGTGAGCCACTGTGCCTGGCTGCCATTATTATTATTATTATTATTTATTTTATATTTTATTTTGTTTTTTTTGAGATGGAGTCTTGCTCCATTGCCCAGGCTGGAGTGCAATGGTGCGATCTCTGCTCACTGCAACCTCCGCCCCCCGGACTCAAGTGATTCTCCTGCCTCAGCCTCCTGAGTAGCTGGGATTACAGGTGCGCCACCATGCCCGGCTAATTTTTGTATTTTTAGTAGAGACGGGGTTTCACCATGTTGGTCAGGCTGATCTCGAACTCCTGACTTCATGATCCACCTGCCTCAGCCTTTCAGTGTTGGGATTAGAGGTGTGAGCCACTGCACCCGGCCTGTTACTATTATTTTATTTATTTTGTTTTGTTTTTGAGATGGAGTTTTGCTCTTGTTGCCAGGGCTGGAGTGCAATAGCACCATCTCAGCTCTCTGCAACCTCTACCCACCAGGTTCAAGCATTTCTCCTGCTTCAGCCTTCCAAGTAGCCAAGATTACATGCATGTGCCGCCATGCCATGCTAATTTTGTATTTTTAGTAGAGACGGAGTTTCACCATGTTAGTCATGGCTAGTCTCGAACTTTTGACCTCAAGTGATCCACCCGCCTTGCCCTCCCAAAGTGCTGGGATTACAGGAGTGAGCCACCGCGCCTGGCCTGCTATTATTATTATTTTTTCTGGGTATCATTGTGGGCCTCCCCACCCCCAACCCTTTTCATTCCTCAGTGCCCCGCGTCTACCCTGAGAGGGCTGAATTCCACATTTTGCTTTCTTGTTTTTTATTGTAAAAGTTAATATAAATGGAGAAAACCACACAAGCCAATTCAGTATACCTTTTTTTTTTTGACGGAGTCTCACTCTGTCATCCAGTCTGAAGTGTAGTGGCATGATCTTGGCTCACTGCAACCTCTGCTGCCTGAGTTCAAATAATTCTCCTGCCTCAGCCTCCCGAGTAGCTGGGATTACAGTCATTTGCCACTGCACCCAGCTAATTTTTGTATTTTTAGTAGCAACGGGGTTTCACCATGTTGGCCAGGCTGCTCTTGAACTCCTGACCTCATGATCCACCTGCCTCTGCCTCTCAGAATGCTAGGATTACAGGCATGAGCCACTGTGCCCAGCCTTTTTATTTTTTTTTTTGAGACAGAGTTTTGCTCTGTCGCCCAGGCTGGAGTGCAGTGGTGCCATCTCGGCTCACTGCAACTTCTGCCTCCTGAGTTCAAATGATTCTCATGCCTCAGCCTCCTGAGTAACTGGGATTACAGGTGTGTGCCACCATGCCCAGCTAATTTTTTTGTATTTTTAGTAGAGACAGAGTTTCACCATGTGACCAGGCTGGTCTCAAACTCCTGGTCTCGAGTGATCCACCTGCTTTGGCCTCCCAAAGTGTCAGTATACATTTTGTTTTTGTTTTGAAATGGAATCTTGCCCTGTCGTCCAGGCTGGAGTGCAGTGACACGACCTCGGCTCACTGCAACCTCTGCCTTCCAGGTTCAAGCCATTCTCCTGCCTCAGCCTCCTGAGTGCCTGGGATTATAGGCACCCACCACCACGCCTGGCTAATTTTGTATTTTTAGTAGAGATGGGGTTTCACCATGTTGTTCAGGCTGGTCTCGGACTCCTAACGTCAGATGATCCACCTACCTTGGCCTCCCAATGTGCTGAGAATACAGGTGTGAGCCACCACACCCTGCCCGTGTCCATACACATTTCAATGAACAATTACAATGCAAACATCCAAGTAACCACCACCCCTGTCAGGAAGTTGTACGTTACATTGCGGTTTACCTTCTAGTTGCCATTTTCCCCATGTGCCTCCTCTAGACCAAGCCAGTGGCATTTGCCGTGCGGACAAATGTGGGCTACAATCCGTCTCCAGGAGATGAGGTGCCTGTGCAGGGAGTGGCCATTACCTTTGAGCCCAAAGACTTCCTGCACATCAAGGAGGTGGGTATCTGGAGGGAGAACAAGGGAGTGGGTGCCAGGAGAGAGGCAGCCAGAGTGCTAGTGGACAAAAGACTTCTGAGCCAAGCAGAGCCGGGCTAAATCTGCTGTGTGACCTTAGACAAATCTCTCCACCTCTCTGAGCCTCTTTAATTTTCTACTGGAAAAATGGGGTGGTAATGCTTAGGTCAGAAGATTGTTGGGAGGGTTTGTCAGGGGGCCCGAACCGGCGTGGCGGTGTGCCAGGGACATGCAGGTACCTGCATTTACTCGAGTGGCCTTTCTAGAGTAGGGTGGGCACATGGGGAGAAGAAGGACTCTCAGAATTGCACTGGGCCGGTGGCAGGGTAGTCCATGGCCAGAAAGCATGCTGGTCCTGGAGTTGTCCTGAGAATTGGCAGCTCCACTCAGAGGCTGGAGCCGGGGCTGGGGATCTTTGAGGGTGCCACCACTGGGCAGGGAGGCGAGTCTGGGCGTTTCCCCTGGAAAGTGACTGTTAGCTTGCCCCTGCAGTTTCCCTCTTGGACTTTGCATCCACCTGCCATGTTCTTTGCAGAAATACAATAATGACTGGTGGATCGGGCGGCTGGTGAAGGAGGGCTGTGAGGTTGGCTTCATTCCCAGCCCCGTCAAACTGGACAGCCTTCGTCTGCTGCAGGAACAGAAGCTGCGCCAGAACCGCCTCAGCTCCAGGTGTCTGGGTGGGGCAGGGGAAGGGGGTGCTGCCAACCCCAGGAGAGGCCATACAGCCTGGACTAGGCCTCAGTGGTTGCCCCTGGCCCTGAGGGCACAGAGCTGCCTGTAGCATCACCAGTGGGGCCGGAGCACCTCCAGGGGTGCCCCATGTGAGAGGATGAGATCCCCCCACGCCCACCTCTTTGCTCACAACCTCGGTTTGCCTTTGCCCACACAGCAAATCAGGCGATAACTCCAGTTCCAGTCTGGGAGATGTGGTGACTGGCACCCGCCGCCCCACACCCCCTGCCAGTGGTAAGAACCATCGCTATGCAGGGGTTTGGGGAGGAGCTCCTGGGTGGGGTGGTCTCCCAACTCCCTGACTCCTCCTTTCCCTGCAGTAGGAAACACCCCAATCCTGAGTCACCCAAGCACATGCAATGGTTCCCCCTCCATGAAGAGTAGGATACCCCTCAAGCTGGGCCTGTCATGTCTCTCCTCTTCCCTTTCTTTGGTAGCTCCATCTCTCTGCCTGATTCCCCTGCCCCGTCCCCATTCATTTCTCCCAGCCCTGTTCCATTCACCTCTTCTTCTTTCTTTTTTCCCCATCCCCATCCCTGCGTTCTGTACTTGTGTCTCCACGTTCATCTCACTCCTTCTCCCCACCTCGCCTCCCTCCTCCCTCTCTCCTGACTCTCCGGTCCAGGTAATGAAATGACTAACTTAGCCTTTGAACTAGACCCCCTAGAGTTAGAGGAGGAAGAAGCTGAGCTTGGTGAGCAGAGTGGCTCTGCCAAGACTAGTGTTAGCAGTGTCACCACCCCGCCACCCCATGGCAAACGCATCCCCTTCTTTAAGAAGGTAATTCTTGCTGTGTTCTTGCAAAAGGTGGGGGAGTCAGGGCCAGCACTTTGCTGGAGGAAAGGGGGCTATAATGGATTCAGATGTGGTCTGTTCTGTGGGCATCAGGGCTTCCTGCTGAGGTGGAGGGAAGGGTAGCATGGGTACATCCCCCTCCACATACAACTCCGCCCTGGCCCCATCCCCAGGAAGGAGATCTTGCCCCTGGAAGGTTGCCCCCACACCTGGGGCAGCAGGGTTTGGTGGTCATGAACCCTGACCTCTCCCCTCACTCCCAGGGGCCTGCTCTGGTGTTGGCATATATCCTGGCATGTGAAGCAGGGCATGGGATGGTATTCCTTCTTTTCCCTTTTTTGACTGGGTGGGCACATAGTGGATGGGGGGGACTGCTGACTGCAAAGCAAGACAGTTAAGGGAACCCTTAAAATGGGCAGGTTGGCATGCACTGGGGGCAGGAGGTGGGCACCAAGGTAGGGGCTGTCAACCTCACCAGCTCTTTTCCAAGACCCAGAAGAGGGTAGGATATGTCTGAATATTCCCACATCCGCTGGACTGTCAGTCCTGATCCAGGGCCACCTCAGGCTCCCCCTTGGCGTGGGGTCCCGTTCCCCATCTCTGGCTCTGTCTGTCACTAACACGCATGCCCTGTTATCTCTCCTCGTCTGCCCGGCTCTCCCTCCCTCTCTTGTCCTGGCTCTTGCCTTGCCCTCTGCCCCTGCCTGGGTCCCCTTCCCTCTCTCCTCCCCCTTCCCTCTCTTGGCAATCTCTGGACCCAGCCAAACAGAAGCAGAAGTCGGTGAGTATCACAGCTTTCTGTGTCCTCCTCCCCACTCCCTGGGATGAGCTAGGGGGACCTTCTAACACCCATTCCCACATCTGCCCCCATTTCCCCCACCTTTCCTGGTTCTCCCTGGCCATCCCTCCCCACCCCCACCCTGATCCCCACATCTGGGCTCTGGGACGGTGGGGGGAAGGTTGCATGGGGGAGCCTGGCGTGTGGGGGAGAGGATCTAATATCATTTCCACTCTGGGGTTTCCCCTCCCTGCTTGCCCCCCAGACAGAGCATGTGCCCCCCTATGACGTGGTGCCTTCCATGAGGCCCATCATCCTGGTGGGACCGTCGCTCAAGGGCTACGAGGTAGGACTCCCTAGAGGGGAGTGGACACAGAGGGGCCTTAGAAAGATCTTCAGACCCCAGAGAGATCCCCTAGAAGGGCCTAGATCCCAAGGCATCCTCCCCGGAGGGCTACAGACCTTCAGAGAGAACCCCCAGGGGGCCTAACCCACAGGAAGACCCACACAGAGGAACCCCGTCCCCCAAAGAAACCCCCAGAAAAGTCCTCCCAGAGATGCCACTTACAGGGACCTTTGGAACCAGAGACCCCAGTGGAGACCCCTCAGACCCAGACCCCCGCCCATCATAAAGTCCCGTTCGGAAGAAAGTGGAACGTGAGGGTACAAATACCCAGCTGCTCAGAGTCTGAGTGGCTTTAAATGCCTACCTTCTCCTCCTTCCCTCCCCACAAACTCCCACCCCCAGGTTACAGACATGATGCAGAAAGCTTTATTTGACTTCTTGAAGCATCGGTTTGATGGCAGGTAAGACCCTGGGAGCTGCTCCTCGCACCTGCCATTGCTCTCTGCTGCTGGGGATGGGCCGGATGCCTCGAATCACAATCCTGGGACTGAGGAACAGAAGGCGGGCCTGGAACTGGGGAGTGGGCAGGGCATTCCAGCCCACTCTGATCCCTGACTCCCCTCTTGCCCCATTCCCCAGGATCTCCATCACTCGTGTGACGGCAGACATTTCTCTAGCTAAGCGCTCAGTTCTCAACAACCCCAGCAAACACATCATCATTGAGCGCTCCAACACACGCTCCAGCTTGGGTGAGCCCACCCCTGCTGTCTTCACTCACCCTTTCTGGGCTGGACGTGGGAGGGGTGGGAGTTAGTGGGCAGGGCCATCTCCAGAAGCATTCCCTCCACCTACTACCTCCTGGGAGGCCACCTGACATTCCCCCATCCACATGACTCCGTGCCCCCAGCTGAGGTGCAGAGTGAAATCGAGCGAATCTTCGAGCTGGCCCGGACCCTTCAGTTGGTTGCTCTGGATGCTGACACCATCAATCACCCAGCCCAGCTGTCCAAGACCTCGCTGGCCCCCATCATTGTTTACATCAAGATCACCTCTCCCAAGGTGGGTGCAGGAGCCTCACCCTGGCCGGGACAGCATGGTTTAAAAGGAGTGCTCTGGAGTCGGGCTGCTTGGGTTTAAATCCCAGCTCCATGGCTTACTGATTGTGTGACTTAATCCACCCGAGTCTTAGTTTCCTTCTCTGTAAAGCTCCATGGTATTGTCAAGTGTTTCAACATCATATAAATGTATAGCACTTAGCAAATGGTCTGATACAACACGTTAGCTATTGTTTACTATTATTAGGGTCATGCAGACCAGTCCCCTGTCTCCACTCTGATTGACCTCCCACCCTTGGACTGAAAGAATTCTGTGCTTTTTGTTCCAGTGCCACCCAGCTACTTGGCAGTTGGGAGGTCTTTCCTTTCTTCTTCTTTTTTTTTTTTTTTTAAAGTCAGGGTCTTGCTCTGTCACCCAGGCTGGAATGCAGTGGTGTGATCATGGTTCACTGCAGCCTCTATCTCCTGGGCTAAAGCGATCCTCCCACCTCGGCCTCCCAAGTAGCTGGGACTAGTGGGTAGGTGTCCACTACCATGCCTAGCTAATATTTGTGTTTTTTAGAGACAGGATCTAGCTGTGTTGCCCAGTTGCTTTACTCTCGATATCAACCCTTTTTGCTGCAGTGTCCTCATTTGGACTTTGATAGAGGGGGAATCTGCAAGAAGGCCGTCTTACTTTTTCCTTGTATTGCAGCACCATTAACTTTCCCTTCTAGATGCCAGTGGGGATCTGAGAAACATGGAGGAAGAGTTGAGGTGAAGGATTTGAAGTTAGAAGACAGCATGGGCTTGAAATTCTAGCTCTGATTGATTTACATACTGATTTATTATTACTGTTGGTTTTTCTTATTGAACTTGGAAACTTGGGGGAATTATTTAGCCTCTGATTCTCTATTTCTTCACCTATAAAGTGGGGTTATAATCCCTCTCGTGTTATTGTTGAGAGGAATGGTGTAAGCAGCTCAGTATACTCTCTGATTTATTTATTTGTTTGTTTTTTTTTTTTGAGACCGAGTCTCGCTTGTCGCCCAGACTGGAGTGCAGTGGCACGATCTCGGCTCACTGCAAGCTCCACCTCCCGGGTTCACGCCATTCTCCTGCCTCAGCCTCCTGAGTAGGTGGGACTACAGGCGCCCGCCACCACACCCGGCTTTTTGTATTTTTATAGAGACGGGGTTTCACCATGTTAACCAGGATGGTCTCGATCTCCTGACCTTGTGATCTGCCCGCCTCAGCCTCCCAAAGTGCTGGGATTACAGGCGTGAGCCACCGCGCCCGGTCTATTTTATTTATTTATTTATTTATTTTGAGATGGAGTCTCGCTCTGTCGCCCAGGCTGGAGTGCAGTGGCACAATCTCGGCTCACTGCAAGCTCTGCTTCCTAGGTTCAGGCCATTCTCCTGCCTCAGCCTCCCGAGTAGCTAGGACTACAGGCACCCGCCACCATGCCTGGCTAATTTTTTGTATTTTTAGAAGAGACAGGGTTTCACCGTGTTAGCCAGGATGGTCTCGATCTCCTGACCTCGTGATCTGCCCACCTTGGCCTCCCAAAGTGCTGGGATTACAGGCATGAGCCACCACGACTGGCCTACTCTCTGATTTATGAGGGTAGCCAGTAGTGGTAACCATTATCATCCCATGAGCTGAGCTCCCTGGACCAGTTACTTAACTTTTTTTTTTTTCTTTTTTTGAGACAGAATCTTGCTCTGTCACCCAGGCTGGAGTGCAGTGGTGTGATCTCACTCACTATAGCCTCTGCCTCCCAGGTTCAAGCAATTCTTGGGCCTCAGTATCCTGAGTAGCTGGGGTTAGGATTACGGGTGCACACCACCACATCTGGCTTTTTTTTTTTTTTTTTTTTTGAGACAGAGTCTCGCTCTGTGACTCAGGCTGGAGTGCAGTGGTGCAATCTTGCTCACTGCAACCTCCACCTCAAGTAATTCGCCTGCCTCAGCCTCCTGAGTAGCTGGGACTACAGGCGCCCGCCACCACACCCAGCTAATTTTTGTATTTTTAGTAGAGATGGGGTTTCACCATGTTGGTCAGGTTGGTCTTGAACTCCTGACCTCATGATCCGCTGTCCTCGGCCTCCCAAAGTGCTAGGATTACAGGTGTGAGCCACTGGTCCCGGCCACACCTGGCTAATTTTTGTATTTTTAGTAGAGAGAGGTTTTCACCATGTTGGCCAGACTGGTCTCAAACTCCTGACCTCAGATCGAGACCATGGTGAAACCCCGTCTCTACTAAAAAAATTAGAAAAAAATTAGCCGGGTGCAGTGGCGGGCGCCTGTAGTCCCAGCTACTCGGGAGGGTGAGGTAGGAGAATGGCATGAACCCGGGAGGCGGAGCTTGCAGTGAGCCGAGATTGCGCCACTGCACTCCAGCCTGGGCGACAGAGCGAGACTCCGTCTCAAAAAAAAAAAACAAAAACAAAAAAAAAACAAAAACAAAAAAAAACTCCTGACCTCAAGTGATTCTCCTGCCTCAGCCTCTCTAAGTGCTGGGATTACAGGTATGAGCCACTGCACCCAGCCGACTTAACCTTTCTGAGTCCTGTGTTTCTAATGAGATAAAGGGGATGATGGGATTTAAGTACTTCCTGAGGGGAGTTGAAAGGACCAAATGAGATCATGGATGCAAAAACACTGAACTAGAAAGTAACCAATGCTTCCATTTCCCTCATTGAGGTTAAGAGGAGGGACTCTGGAACCAGGCAGCCTGGACTTCTACTCCAGGGCTGTCACTTACTGGCTCTGTGTTCCTTTGGCAAGTGGCCAAACATCTCTATGCCTTGGTTTCGTCATCTGCAGCATAGGCATACTGGGTTTGTGAAGATTAAATAAATGGGTTAATCATGAAAAATACTTGGCATTGGGCCAGGCACGATGGCTCACGCCTGTAATCTCAGCACCTTGGGAGACCGAAGCTGGTGGATTGCCTGAGCTAAAGAGTTCAAGACCAGCCTGGGCAACATGGTGAAACCCTGCCTCTATTAAAACTCAAAAAATTAGCTGGGCATGGTGGTGGGCGCCTGTAATTCCATCTACTCAGGAGGCTGAGGCACAAGAATTGCTTGAACCCAGGAGGCAGAGGTTGCAGTGAGCTGGGATCGCACCAGTACAGTCCAGCCTGGGTGACAGAGCAAGACTCTGTCTCATAAATAAATAAATAAATAAATAAATATTACTGGTATCCCAGAACTATATCTGTTCCATTTTGTAAAAAGATTTTTATTTTCAAATAATTTCAGATTTACAGAAGTGTGGCAAGAATAGTATCAAACAAAATCTTATGTTTTGAATATTCTTCACCAAGATTCACTAATTTTTTAACAGTTTTATTGAAGTAGAATTCCCATACCATGAAATTCAGCCATTTAAAGTCTATAAGCCAGACTTGGTGGCTCACACCTGTAATCCCAGCACTTTAGGAGACTGAGGCAGGTGGATCACTTGAGCTCGGGAGTTGGAGACCAGCCTGGGCAACATGGCAAGACCCTGTCTCTATTAAAAAATAAAAAATAAATTAAGTGTATAGTCTAATTTTTTTCAGATTCACTAATTTTGAAAAATTTACTTTCATCTTTCTCTCTCTTTTTTTTTTTTGGAACAAAGTCTTGCTTTGCCACCCAGACTGGAGAGCAGTGGTGTGATCTTGGCTTACTACAATCTCTGCCTCCCGGTTCAAGTGATTCTCCTGCCTCAGCCTCTCAAGTAGCTGGGATTACAGGCACCCACCACCACGCCTGGCTACTTTTTGTATTTTCAGTTGAGACAGAGTTTCACCATGTTGGCCAGGCTGGTCTCGAACTCCTGACCTCAAGTGATCCACCCGCCTCGGCCTCCCAAAGTGCTGGGATTACAGGCGTGAGCCTGGCCTATATTGTGTTTCTTGAGAACAACATCAGTATCTTACACAACGATGATGCAATTGTAAAATTCAAGAATTGTTTCTAAAATATAGTCTGTATTAGTTTATTTATGTATGTATATATGTATGTATGTATGTATGTATGTATTTATTTATTTTTGAGATAGGGTCTCACTCTGGCTGCCCAGGCTGGAGTGCAGTGATGCGATCTTGGCTCACTGCAACCTCTGCCTCCCTAGTTCAAACAATTCTGCTTCAGCCTCCTGAGTAGCTGGGATTACAGGCACCTGCCACCATACCCAACTAATTTTTGTATTTTTAGTAGAGACGGGGTTTTGCCATGTTGGCCTGGCTGGTCTTGAACTCCTGACCTCAGGTGATCCATCCGCTTCTGCCTCCCAAAGTGCTGGGATTACAGGTGTGAGCCACTATGCCCGGCATAGAATGCCCTTCATGGCAACATTTCCCCCAATCCAGGAACCAACCCAGGATCACGTGTTGCCTGTTTTTTTTAGACAGAGTCTTGCTCTGTCGCCCAGGCTGGAGTGCAGCGGCACGATCTCAGCTCATCTCAACCTCTGCCTCCTGAGCTCAAGTGATTTTCATGCCTCAGCCTCCTGAGTAGCTGGGACTATAGGCATATGCCACCATACCAAGCTAATTTTTGTATTATTATTATTATTATTATTATTATTTTTTTTTTTTTTTTGAGGCAGAGTCTTCACTCTGTCGCCCAGGCTGGAGTGCAGTGGCACCATCTCGGCTCACTGCAAGCTCCGCTCCCGGGTTCGTGCCATTCTCCTGCCTCAGCCTCCCGAGTAGCTGGGACTACAGGCGCCCGCCACCGTGCCCGGCTAATTTTTTGTATTTTAGTAGAGACGGGGTTTCACCGTGTTAGCCAGGATGGTCTCGATCTCCTGACCTCGTGATCCGCCCGCCTCGGCCTCCCAAAGTGCAGGGATTACAGGCGTGAGCCACCGGCGCCCGGCCTATTATTTTTTAATAAAGACAGGGTTTCACCATGTTGGCCAGGCTGATCTTGAACTCCTGGCCTCAGGTGATCCACCCGCCTCAGCCTCCCAAAGTGCTGGGATTACAGGTGTGAGCCACCGCGCCCGGCCTCGTTTTCTTTTTCTTTTTTTGAGATGGAGTCTCGCTCTATCGCCCAGGCTGGAGTACAGTGGTGTGATCTAGGCTCACTGCAAGCTCCGCCTCCCAGGTTCATGCCATTCTTCTGCCTCAGCCTCCTGAGTAGTTGGGACTACAGGCGCCTGCCACCACGCCCGGCTAATGTTTTGTGTTTTTAGTAGAGATGGGGTTTCACCATGTTAGCCAGTATGGTCTCGATCTCCTGACTTCGTGATCCGCCCACCTCCACCACCCAAAGTGCTGGTATTACAGGTGTGAGCCACCGTGCCCGGCTGGCCTAGTTTTCTTTAATCTGGAAGGGTTCTTCAGCCTTTCTTGAATTTTCCAGAGACTGACATTTAGGCAGAGTACAGGACAGCTATTTTGTAGACTGTCCCTCAGTGTGGGTTTGTGTGATTGTTCCTCATGATTAGTTTCGGGTTTTGCATTATTATAATTATGGTTGTTGTTGTTGAGATGAGAATGATAATAGTAGCTGTCTAACAGGAATGTTATCGGGACTAAATTGATCATGTGAAAAGCACAGAACAATGCTGGTATGTAGCAAGTGCCTCATAAAGGAAGACTATTGTTGCTGTTGTTAATATAGAGGGTGTGACTGGGCTCAGTGGCTCATGCCTATAATCCCAGCACTTTGAGAGGCTGAGGCAAGTGGATCACTTGAGGCCAGGAGTTTGAGACCAGCCTGGGCAACATATACAAAAAAATTTTGAAAAATTAGCGGGATATGGTGGCACATGCCTGTAGCCCTAGTTCCTCAGGAGGCCAGGCTGGGGGCTTGCTTGAGTCCAGGGTATAGTGAACTGTGATCACACCACTGCACTTCAGCCTGGGCGATAGAGCGAGAACCAGTCTCTAAAATAAAAATAAAAAAAGGAGGGTGGGCAGGCCTACAAACAAGGTTAGAGAAGTTGAGAAGAAGAATCACTACCCTTCATATAGCCTCTAAGGAAGTCTGGCATGAGACCAGGAGAGAGCCTGAGCCCTAGACATAGGGCTGCTGAGGTCATTTCTGCAGATGTGCCCAGGGCTAAGAGTTATGGAGCATTCAAGGGCCCTGACACTGGCTCTCCATGCTGATCCAACCAGGACCCGCCTCTCTGACTGGGTGCATTGCCTGAGTCCCTCTAGCTCCTCTTCCTTTTCTCCCTCCCCAAACCAGGTACTTCAGAGGCTCATCAAGTCCCGAGGAAAGTCTCAGTCCAAACACCTCAACGTCCAAATAGCGGCCTCGGAAAAGCTGGCACAGTGCCCCCCTGTGAGTGCCTAGATCCTGGGGAAGGGAATGGAGGGACGACATTTGGGTTGCCCTGGTTTCCTCTGGCCTACATGAGAGACAGAGTGACCAGGAACACCTGGGTCAGGCCTGTAGGTGCAAACTGGTCTTCTGGGAAGAGTGTAGGTCCGTCAGTCAAAGACTGGGTTCAAGCCCCAGAAGCACCCTTCACCGTGGAGAGTCAAGCCCTGTCTCCCAGCCTTGGTTGCCTTATCTCTAGAATGAGGGAGTTGGACTGAGTGCCAAAACTTCTTGCAGTTCTGCCAATCTGTAGATCTGAGAGCGCTCCTTCCCTTCTTCCACATCCAGAGGCCTCTTTTTAACCTTGTCCTTCAATCCCTTGACTCTACCCACTGCACCCAGGCCACACCCTCAACCCCCTTGGCCACGCCCCACTCATCCCAGCCCTGCCCCCTAACCCCACCTTCACAGGAAATGTTTGACATCATCCTGGACGAGAACCAATTGGAGGATGCCTGCGAGCACCTGGCGGAGTACTTGGAAGCCTATTGGAAGGCCACACATCCGCCCAGCAGCACGCCACCCAATCCGCTGCTGAACCGCACCATGGCTACCGCAGCCCTGGCTGCCAGCCCTGCCCCTGTCTCCAACCTCCAGGTACAGGTGCTCACCTCGCTCAGGAGAAACCTCAGCTTCTGGGGCGGGCTGGAGTCCTCGCAGCGGGACAGCGCGGTGCCCCAGGAGCAGGAACATGCCATGTAGTGGGCACCCTGCCCGTCTTCCCTCCCGCTCTGGGGTCGGAACTGGAGTGCAGGGAACATGGAGGAGGAAGGGAAGAGCTTTATTTTGTAAAAAAACGTGATGAGCGGCAGTTTCTGGTGTCTGTGGTTTTTGATGGGTCTGGGGCTTCTGGTGCTGTCTTCCTGGGCCTGGTGCCCTAGGACCGCATCTGCTGCCCGCTGGATATGAGGCCTGATGGGAGCACTTTTAAGACAAGGGACTAGGAAGGACATGCGAGGAAGACTGATAAACTAATTCGCTGGACTCCACACTCTTTTTAGACCCAACAGAGCGGAGGCCCTCAGAGCCAGGGAAACCTGCGTTAAACCTGGACTCTCCCTCCCTGGAGCCCTGACTCCACACGGCCCCTCAAGAAGGACCCAGAATGTGGCATCTTCTATGACTTGATGCTGAACTTTCCACCATTCTCCCAGTTAAAGTCCAGGAAAGGCCCTCCCATGGGAGACCCATCCTGCTTTGCCCTCCTCCCATGGGAGCCACAGCCCACCTCTTGATTCCACACCATTAAGTATAAGGTTCTAAGAGCCAGAAGAAACCCATGAAATCATTCTAGACTAGCTTTCAAATTTGTTTTCAGCAACAGAGCCCATTTGTTCAATGAATCTTATGTGGAAGCTGAGGATGTAGATAATACATCCTTGCTTTGCCCTGAAGGAGCCAGGGGAATGGCCTCCCCTCCACCTCCATGGGGACCCCTGAAGCACTTCTGTGCCCTCCCCACCCAACCCCACCCCAGATCTCTAGGTAACAGTTTGGAAACTGCTGCTCAGGTCTAACTCCCGTCACATTACAACCAAGACATGAAGTCACAGAGAGGGGAACTGTTTGCTCAGGGTCACACAGCTTGACATGGCAGGGGAGGGACTGGAACCTCTCTTGTGCCCCACCTCCATGTGACATTTGGTGATGAGGACACTGGGTCACCTCTTCATCTTCAGTAGGAGGGGGAGACCCAGCAGCCATCCCCAGCTTGCTGCTTTGAGTCCTTGTTGGGGGCAGGGGAGGAATCCCATCAGCCTTGGAGACAGTGTCATCTGACTAGGGAATGGTGGGAGAAGCATGGGGTTCTGGAAGCCTAAGGTTGGGGTCTGGTGTGGGTCCAAGCAGCCAGGGTCAGCAGGTTTTAGCTGAAATCCCGTTAATATATTTGGAAAACCAAAGGCGATGACTAACCCAATCAACCACTAATGAGTGGCAATACTGAGCTGTTAATGATGATTAACCCCAAGATAGCATTAATGACCTGCACCAGGGAAGCGGTGACTCATGGCTCACGGCTGACTGCCATGAAGGTCGGGTGCCCCCTGTCTGGAGAGAGGAGCAAATGCCCTGAGGTCTGTCCTCTGGCTGGGCTCCAGAGCCATTTGTCCCGGGGCCCCTTCCCTAGAGTCAGCACCCTCTTCATCCAGGCCGGACCTCTTAATGCTGTCACTAACTTGCCTTGCTTTGTTGTGTTTTTCTCACCCTTGCCTGATCTGCATGGTGTGTGCTGTCCGTCTGCTAACCAGGGACCTTACCTTGCTTCCGGGGACCAGCCGCTGGAACGGGCCACCGGGGAGCACGCCAGCGTGCACGAGTACCCAGGGGAGCTGGGCCAGCCCCCTGGCCTTTACCCCAGCAGCCACCCAGCAGGCCGGGCAGGCACGCTACGGGCACTGTCCCGCCAAGACACTTTTGATGCCGACACCCCCGGCAGCCGAAACTCTGCCTACACGGAGCTGGGAGACTCATGTGTGGACATGGAGACTGACCCCTCAGAGGGGCCAGGGCTTGGAGACCCTGCAGGGGGCGGCACCCCCCCAGCCCGACAGGGATCCTGGGAGGACGAGGAAGAAGACTATGAGGAAGAGCTGACCGACAACCGGAACCGGGGCCGGAATAAGGCCCGCTACTGCGCTGAGGGTGGGGGTCCAGTTTTGGGGCGCAACAAGAATGAGCTGGAGGGCTGGGGACGAGGCGTCTACATCCGCTGAGAGGCAGGGGCCACACGGCGGGAGGAAGGGCTCTGAGCCCAGGGGAGGGGAGGGGAGGGGAGGGGAGGGGAGGGGAGGGAGCGAGGGGCTCACACCCAACATGTATTCGCCTCCAGGGGGCGCTGTCTCCCGCCTTTCAGATGCCTTTGCTCAAAGCTTGGGGTTTATTCGGCGTTATCATCCCAGCTCCCGGGAGGCCCTTAAGCCCCCAGCTGTCGGTTTTTACCTGCCTGTTGCGGATGGATGGGGGATACCCACTTTTCTGAAGTGTCCCCTTTCTCCCATCTTAAGGGGCTCTCCTCCCTCGCCCTCCTAGAGAAAAGGTGCACTTCCTTCACTCTTTCTGCTCGGGGCCCTAAGTGACGGTCCTAAGTGGGATGGCTCTCCTTCTCCCAAGCTGCAGTACTGGGGAAGGGCCGGGCGGTTTTCCTGGAAAGGGAGGCCACAGATTCTTTCCCATGGGGGCTCTCTTCCCCAGACCCCAGATCCGAGGTCCCTCACCCTGCCTGCCCCTTCCTCCCAGGTTCCTGGCAGCATCGTCTGGTCGGTGAAAGCTACAGCATGGACACCCCATGGGGAGCTTGTCTCGGGGAGGGTTCTGGGTGGAAGCTGGCAGGCATATAAAACCCTCTACCCTCCGTGGCCATGGCAACGTCCAGGGCCCAGAACCCTGAAGAGTGAGCAGCTGAGGCGCTGCTCCCCACCCCCCACCTCCATACCTCAGCCTTTGCCTACCCCAGGAATGAGCTTGGCCTCCAACATCCCTTGCCTGCTGCCATTAGAAGAGGGGGCCCCTCTGCATCTGAGCCCCCCATCCCTGTACCACCTGGGTGTGGAGCCCATGGAACACTCTGGTCCGCCTCATTTTAAACCAAAAAACTGCTCCTTCACCCTCACCCTGAGGCCCCAGGGGAGAGGACCCATGGGTTGGTGCCCAGGGGTTGCCTTGGGACCTCGGATCTCCTCTGGGGGGCTTGGCTGCTGCTGTTGCTGCTCTGTATTTGCCTCTCGTGATTCTGTTTGTTACCCATGTTCACTTCCCCCAGGAGACCCCCTCTCCCCTGGGGCATCCCTCTGCCTTGGAATCCCTGTAGCCCAGCAGCCCTGCCCCTCCCCAGCATCCCAGCTGGGCCAGAGAGAGCCGACTGTGCCAACAAGGACTGGGCCCTGCCCGGCTGCCCGCCTCAGGGATGGGCACCTCATGCCTGTCTCACCACCTCCTGTGCCAATGTCCTACCCTCCACCTGGGGGTGGGGTGCAGCTTCCACTTACTGATTAGAAGACACCACTGCCCACCCTTTCCCCCTCCCTGTCTGGTGTCCTGTGCCCCCATGTGTCTGTCTATATTTGTCTGTACTCCCCTAGGAGAAGTATTTTGCCATATATAAAACCACTGTCCTGTCCTTTGTGGCTGTCTCCCAAGCCTGCTTCTTTGTCCTCGCCACATAGTCATCAGCCTAGGCACCTGGGAGCTGCTGATATGCAGGGGGAAGCTGTGCGCGGAGTCGTTGACTCAATAGGGAAGATGATCCTTCGATTTTGGCCCTCTGATGTATTATGCCCAAGCCAGGAGCTGCTTGGGCAGTCCTGGCTCCGCACTGGCCCTGAGCCCCTTCACTTACCTCTCTCTCCACAAGTACAGCCAGAGGCAATGGGAAGCTGGTGTTGCTTGGTGGGTGAGATCCAGACCCATTGGTGCAATGTCTTAAATACACATGATTGTTTTTCTGCTGTTGTGGCCTGGCTGTGTCCCAACACCTCAGGAGAGGGAGGGGCTGAGCTTCTGGCTCCACTAATGCCCCCCTTGTTCCTGCTAACCAGCTTTGGGGGCAGGGAGGCAGACCACTTGTGGGGGCAGGTCAGAGATAATCAGGGATTCTGTCAGTCCTCGACTGAAAGTCAGCAGATGAGTGTACCCATTCCTGCCATCCCTAGCTGGCAGGATGTGGACTTCTGACAGTTACTGCAACCACCTGTGTCCTGCCTCACACAGTACCCTCAAACTATTTCCCCTCCCTGCTGGTTCTTTTTCTTTTTCTTCTTTTTTTTTTAAGACGGAGTTTTGCTCGTTGCTGAGGCTGGAGTGCAGTGCCGCGATCTCGGTTCACTGCAATCTCCGCCTCCCAGGTTCAAGTAATTCTCCTGCCTCAGCTTCCCGAGTAGCTGGGATTACAGGCGTGTGCCTGTAATCCCAGCAAATTTTTGTATTTTTAGTGGAGACAGGGTTTCACCATGTTGGCCAGGCTGGTCTTGAACTCCTGACCTCAGGTGATCCACCTGCCTTAGCCTCCCAAAGTGCTGGGATTACAGGCATGAGCCACCACACCCACCCTGGTTCTTGTTTTTGCGCAGGTGGCCGTGGAGGATTAAAATTCCTGAGTCCACTACCAGAGTGCTAAGGCCCAACATGAATGACTGTGTGTGTGTGTGCGCGCGTGTGTGTAGGGCAAAAGACATCCCCCAAGACCCTACAGATGAGGAGTTAGTGGATCAAAGGAAAGGGGAACTGGGCAGGCCCAGAGGTCAAGTGGCTGACCCCAGTTCCCCGGGGAGCCAATGGCAAAGTTGATGAGAGCCTAGTCCCTGCCTCCTAGCATAGTGCATTTCCCACTGCCTTCCTACAGAATCATTCATTCCTGTGTTTATTCCTTGAACAAACGTTTATTGAGCACCTACAATGTACCAGGCACAAGTCTACGTAGGGGCCATAGATGATTTCAGCACAGCATAATGTACTCTGCTGTGGGAGCACTGGGTACTGTGGGAACCTGAAAGAGGGGTTAGTCCCATAACCTGGGGAGGTCAGCTGAGGCTTCCTGGTGGAGGTGAGGCTTGAGTAGAATCTAGAAGCATGGTTGGCAGACAAATGGGGGAAATGTTCAAAGCAGAGAAAGTAGGGGACATGCATGACATATTCTTGGCACCTCACCAGCAAAGTGTGCTCTCAAGGTGGTGGCCAGAGAGGGATTGGCAGGAGCAGGTCACAGTGGGCCTTGAGTCATGTTAAGGAGTTTAGACTTTGTCCTGAAGCTTGTGCGCAGAAATGGAAGGATTGTAAGCAACTAGCAAGATTGCTTTGTTTGCAGTTTGGCACATAGATTGGAAGGCCTAGCTTGGAAACAGCTGTGATAATCCAGGTGAGAAAGGAGGGTTTGCCTTAGGCCACAGCAGTGGGACAGGAAGGGAGGCAAAGAGGCCAGGGACATCTAGCAGTTAGATGGCCGGGTTTGGTGGCTCACGCTTGTAACCCCAGCACTTTGGGAGGCCGAGGTGGCAGGATTGCTTGAGTCCAGCAGTTCTGAGACTATGCAACATAGTGAGACCGACATTTTCACAAAAATTTTTAAAAATTAGCTGGATGTGTAGTCCCAGCTACTCAGGAGGCTGTGATAGGGAAGCTGAGGTGGGGAGGATCTCTTGAGCCCAGGAAGTCAAGGCTGCAGTGAACTATGATCACACTACTGCACTCCAGCCTGGGCAACAGAGCAAGACCCTGTCTCAATAAATTAATTAAATAAATAAATAAATGTTAGAATCTTGAGCTCTTGGAGAGCAAGTGGAGGCAGCTGATAAGAGAAAGGGAAGTGAGGCCGGGTGCAGTGGCTCACACCTGTAATCCCAGCACTTTGGGAGGCTGAGGTGGGTGGATCACGAGGTCAGGAGTTCGAGACCAGCCTAGCCAACATGGTGAAACCCCATCTCTACTTAAAATACAAAAATTAGCCAGGCGTGGTGGTGGTGCCTGTAGTCCCAGCTACTCGGGAGGCTGAAGCAGGAGAATTACTTGAACCCGGGAGGCGGAGGTTGTGATGAGCTGAGGTCGCACCACTTCACTCCAGCCTAGGTAACAGAGGGAGACTCCGTGTCAAAAAAAAAAAAAAAAAAAAAAAGAGAGAGAGAAAGAGAGGTGGCCAGTTTGGCCAACATGGCAAAACCCTGTCTCTACTAAAATACAAAAATTAGCCAGGTGCAGTGGCACACGCCTCCAGCTACTCTGGAGACTGAGCAGGAGAGTCGCTTGAACCCAGGAGGCGGAGGCTGTGGTGAGCCGAGATCACACCACTGCACTCCAGCCTGGGTGACAGAGCAAGACTCTGTCCCAAAAAAAAAAAAAGAAAAAAGAAAGAAAGAAAAGGAGGTGACTGCTGATGGTGGTCTTCCCAGTAAAAGCAGGTAAAAAAACCAAATAAGCTAGGGGCAGAAGTGATCAGTCCATCTTTGGTCAAAGTGGGTTTGAGGTGCCTGTGGGACATTCAAGAAGAGAAGCAGAGGCTGGGAGCAGTGGCTCATGCTTGTAATCCCAGCACTTTGGGAGGACCAGGTGGGCAGATCAATTGAGGTCAGGAATTCAAGACCAGACTGGGCAACATGGTGAAACCTCATCTCTACTGAAAACACAAAAATTACCTGGGTGTGGTGGTGGGTGCCTGTAATCCCAGCTATTCTAGAGGCTGAGGCAGAACTGCTTGAACTCAGGAGGCGGAAATTGCAATGAACCAACGTGCCACTGCACTTCAGCCTGGGTGACAGAGCGAGATTCTATCACCAAAAAAAAAAAAAAAAAAGAGAGAGAGAGAAGAGGAAAAGACAGCTGGGTATATGGTCTGGAGCTCCACAGAGAGGTCTGAAGTGGAGTCTGATGTTTTGAATCAAGGTCAGGTATTATTAACTCCAGTTTACAAAGTTCATAGAGGTTAAAAACTATTTGACCACAGTTACACAACCATGGGGCAAGGATTTGAACTCAGATATATGGATGTCAAGTTCAGTGGTGCCTTTGACCCCCCAAGTTCAGTGCTAATTCCTTTGCCCCAGGATGCATCAGCTTCTGCAAGGGTCGGGGCTGGGGGTTTGGGAAGGAGGAAGCAGGTGTCTGAGTGTGTTTGTGCCCCATGTGCCTTCTGCCTGAAATTGCATTTGCAGGTTGGGCGCGGTGGCTCACACCTGTAATCCCAGCACTTTGGGAGGTCGAGGTGGTTGGATCACTTGAGATCAGGAGTTCGAGACCAGCCTGGCCAACATGGTGAAACCCCATCTCTACTAAAAATACAAAAATTAGCCGGGTGTGGTGGTGGGCGCCTGTAATACCAGCTACTTGGGAGGCAGAGGCAGGAGAATCACTTGAACCCAGGAGGGAGAGGTTGCAGTGAGCTGAGATTGAGCCACTGCACTACAGCCTGGGCGATGGAGTGAGACTCTGTCTCAAAAAAAAAAAAAAAAAAAAAAAAAAAAAAAAATTGCATTTGCCTGGAACTTGCAGGAAGGGCATTTCTAGCTGGCTTGGAGATAGTGAGATTCTTGTTTCTTGGTAATCAGATGCTCTCAACTAACGCTGGCTACACCATCAGCAAGTCAGTAGTTGTCCATGTGTGAGGATTTCGACAACCATGAAGTCAGCTGAGACCCTGCAGGAACCGAGGGACTGGGGACTCCTGCTACCTGGGACCCTTCGTTTCCTTCCCTGACTAGCTACTCCTGTTTTTGCAGTGGATTCTGTCCCAGAATAAGATGATGTGGGAGAGGCCCAGGTCCTAGGTGTGGCTTAAGGTTTCCACTTTTCTACACCAAAGAGAACTAAGCTGAGGCCACCATGGTCCAGGGACAAGGGGCTGTCCCTTGTATCTTGGAGAAAAATTTTGTCTTAGCTCCAGTAACCTTTTTGTGTCCAGAGTTGGTTTCTGCTGGTGGGGTTCCTGGTCTCGCTGACTTCAAGAATGGAGCTTCGGACCTTCCCGGTGCGTGTTAACAGCTCTTAAAGATGGCACAGACCCAAAGACTGAGCAGTAGCAAGATTTATTGTGAAGAGCCAAGGAATGCAATAGAACTAAAGCTTCCATAGCGTGGAACCGCACCCTAGTGCGTTGCCACTGCTGGCGGGGAGGTGGCCAGAGTTTATTCCCTTATTGGCCCTGCCCATGTTCTGTTTCTGTCCTATCAGAGTGTGCTTTTTTCAATCCTCCCTTCGATTGGCTACTTTTAGGATCCTGCTGATTGGTGCATTTTACACAGTGCTGATTGGTGCATTTTCCAGAGCGCTGATTGGTGCATTTTACAGAGCACTGAATGGTGCATTTTACAATCCTCTTGCTAGCCATAGAGCACTGATTGGTGCGTTTTTGCAGAGTGCTAATTGGTGCATTTTACAATCTTCTTGCTAGCTACAGAGGGCTGATTGGTGCATTTTACAATCCTCTTGTAAGACAGAAAAGTTCTCCAAGTCCCCACTCGACCCAGGAAGTCCAGCTGGCTTCACCTCTCATTTTATTCGAAGAAGGGTGCCTTGCTTTACTTCTAAATCAGGCCTTCCTACTGTCTTTCAGAGGGGTGTATGTGTGTGTGTGTGTGTGTATCTGTCTCTCCCTCTACATCACAAGCTCCATAAAGACACAGACTGGGAATGGGAGCAGTGGCTCATGCCTGTAATCCCAGCACTTTGGGAGGCTGAGGGAGACTGAGTCCAGGAGTTGGAGACCAATGGTGAAGCCCGTCTCTACAGAAAAAAAAAAAAAAAAAAAAGCTGGGAGTGGTGGCTTTCACCTCTAGTCCCAGCTACTCCGGAAGCTGAGGTGGGAGGATCGCTTGAGCCTGGGAGACTGAGGCTGCAGTGAGCCGTGATCCCGCCACTGGACTCCAGCCTGGGTGACAGAGCAAGATTCTGTCTCAAAAAAACAAAACAAAACAAAAACATGAAGACCCGGACTGGGTCTGTTTTGTCTACTTCATGTGTTTCCTGGCTCATATTTGTCAAATTAATGAATAAATGAATGAATGCTTCTTAAGATCCGGGTCCTGGGCCTCAAAGTGAAGGCAGATCTTCTTGTCTGTTTTTTTCTTTTCTTTTTCTTCTTTTCTCTTTTAACTATATATTTTTTTAATCAGGCAACTTCCCGAGCCAGAGTATGCTCAGAGAGATCCCCTGTCTTTGTCTGTTTACTGAAGTGATTCCAGCTTGCAGAGTATTACTTTCAGTTCTGCAAAGAGGAGGTGGGGAGGGCAGCATGCACTAAGAGGTTCCTCCCCCCAATCCCCAGGAAACAGATGGTAAAATGCTTAAGACACTGCTGCTTCCCTCAGCACCCTCGGTGCCCCAGCCCCCAGCCCCAGACTTGGCTCCTTCTCTGCTAAGGCTGAAATGCAATCAGCCCAGATGGGCTCTGGCAGTCAACTCTATCCTTCTAACTCTGGGCACCAAGTTGGGTGGGATGAAAGTCTGTATTTAGTGAGCTATTTTCCTTCTTCCTGTAAACTTCCCAGCCTTCCTCAATCCTCTTAAACTTGTGTTCCCATTCCTTTTTCAATATTCCAAGTGCCATTTCTCAGGCTGTAGCTTAACTCATTCTACATCAGTCTGATAGCAACACATTCCTCCTGTGTGCCGGGCTCCGGACCAGGCAGGGAGTGCGGGTGTCATACGATGGTTAACAAGATATGAACCCCACCCTCGGACTCACAGTTGATGGGAGGAAACAGACTTGCTGGTCTATAATCCCAGTGTAGGGAAAAGCCCCATGTAGCTGGAGAACCAAGTGAGGGCTGAGGAAGCAGGTGGCTTTTATGGCAGGGGAGCTAAAAGGTCTCAGGCATTCTCTTTTCTGAGAAGGTGAAAGGCACTCAAGGAGGAAATGCAGGAGCAAAGGTACAGTCAGAAAGAGCTGGGCATGTGTAGGCAGGAATCAGTAGATGCAGAGCCTGGGAGATAAACCTGCCAAGGCAGGTGCGGTCTGTTTGTGGAGGCTCTTGAATGTCAGATCAGTCAAGTGGAGACTGATCTGAATCCAGTGAGCAATAGGGAGCCATTGAAGGTTTATGAGCTGGGGGAGTTACAGACCCTGAGCTGTGCTTTAGGAAGGTTGATAGGGCCATAGAGAGGATGCCCTGGGAAAGGAGAGCTAGAGGCAGGGAGACCAGTTAGAGTTGTTACCTTAATGGAGGGTCATTACCTTAGTGGAGGCTGTAGGAGGGCAGTGCAGTGGGGTGGAAGGAGCTGGCTTCCTGGTGTGTTGGCTGGATCTCCTGCTAACCACCTCCGCAGCCTGAGGGCGCGTTGCCTTTTAGACTTCTCCTTTTGTTATCTGTTTGTTTGTTTATTTATTTATTTATTTATTTATTTATTTATTTATTATTATTCCCCCCCCCCCCCCCAGCTTAAGCAAAGGAAGAAATTCACAAGCAACAACAGAAAGCTCCCCCTTCCATACCCTCCTCAGATCTGGCCTCCTGGTTCTCTATTGGCTCATGTACTCCTCTGCCAGGTATCTGGGGCCTCTCTGCAGGGTCTCCAGCTGGAGGATCTCTCTTCATGCTCCATCCTTGTCTTCAGGTGCCCACTTCCGGGGATCAGGAAGCTGTGCCTGAGCAGTGGGTTTGTCAGTGAATTGCAGGAGCACTGATTTATCCTAGAAGTTGCCAACCACCAAGGGGAAACCCTGCCTTTCCCCAGGAGAACACACTTTGAGTGGGCCCCCAAGACCCACGCTAGTGAACCGACTGAAGATCTGTGGAGGGTTGGAATATTCTCCCAGCTCAGAGAGGATCGGTGAGCCCTGTCTGTACTACACAGCTGGTAGGTACAGAAAGTGGGTCGCCTGGGGTTTTGCTTCAGTCTAGTGCCCTAGACATGGCACTCAGAGAAGGGAGAGCTGGGATCCGGTTCCGGGCGCAGTGCGAGTCTCCGCTGATTTGCGGTGGTGCATCCCACCCGGGTAACTGTGGAGTTTTCGCAGGGCAAGGGGGAGAACTGGAGCTTGAAACTCCCATATTCCTTGCACCTCTCGGGCCCTGGACAGGCAGCTCTTAGTTACTGGGGTGTCCATAGCGCCCGCGAAGGGCCAGCATCCCAGAGGGTTCCCAGGTCAGGTTGGTGACGCGTGGGGCTTCCCTAACTTCATAGGCAAAGCCTGCCAGACCCTCCCCGGGGGAGCGGAGCTCCAAGCACCAGGGCCGACTCCGCTCCTGAGGCCGCTGAGCCCTTCTGCACCTGTCCGGCCAGGGAAGTGCCATAGGACAGCTGATCGCCAAGTTAATGAGCATCTTCGGGAACCAGGGTAAGGGGCGCACAGGGCATCCAAGCGAGCGCTTTGATCTCGCTCTCTTCTGGGACTCCTCTGATCTGGGGTCAGACGCACTGGGGACCTCGGGTTCCAAGGGTCGTATATGGGCGCTCCTCGACTGCCGCGCGGCCTCCCCTGCCCCCGTCCCTGCCTGCTCCTCTTGGATCCTCGCGCTTTGGTGCGCCCCGGGACGCAGGGCTGGGCAAGCCTCCTTTCTCCCCGCTAAACGGCGCCAGCGGCGGGGATGGGGGCTGCTGCGGGTTTCCTGCGACTGTGACTTCGCGTTCGGCTCTTTCTCCAGACACCGTCTCGCGGCAAGCCCACAGGCGCCCCGGGCCTTTCAGACTCTTCTAGAATGTGAAGGGAGGTGGGGGCTCAGCTGTCTTTTCCACCGTCCCGGAGTGGGGCAGGTGTCAGGGCTGGGTAGGAAGCAGACACGCTAAGGTGGGCAGAGGTCCCCAGCATGCGGGGAGCGCTATCTCCTTCCTGGGAGGTCTGGTGGGGGCACACAGTCCCTTGGCCATCGGGTTTGGCCCTGACGCTGCCCTTCCTCGGATGCTTCCAGAGTAGAAGGTTATCATCATGGGACTGGACAATGCGGGAAAGCACCATTCTCTACCGGTTGTAAGTGACTTTCGGGCGGTGAGGGTAGAGGGCTGGGCCTCCCACCAGACTGACAGGCATGGGGACCAATCACTAGAGCTCTTTCCTGGGTTACAGGGCTCCTCTGTACCCGGAGGAGTGATTGAGAACGCTGCTTGGACCTTCCTAGTACTGCGGCTCCTCGGCCTGGCATTCAAATCCTGCACCGTACGGGCAACCCTAGCTCCCACTGCTTTCCTCCATCTTCCCGGGGCCCCTGCCAAACCCAGCTCCAGGCCTGCCAAGTGTCCCAACCTGCCTTCCTGGTCCTCGCTCCCTCTAGCGGCAGGTCGCCCCTTTCTCACCCCTGTTTCCTCTGTCAGTTAACTTTCTTTCCCTTCTTCAAACCCAAAGGCTCACTGAGTCTCTGTAGCTCCTGGTCTAGCATGCCAGGCACGTATGGGTGGGGCTGAGTAAATACCGACCGCAGCTTTCCCCGATATTCGCTCTCTGGATGGCACCTTTCCCATTTTACAGCCTCCAAAGTACTTTACCTAGGATAAGCTTTTCCATGAAAAAGTAATACATGTAAATGATTTTTAAAAAGCATAAAGGAAAATTTCAAACAATGGAGGAATACACAGTGAAAAGTAAGTTTCCTTCTCGCCTCTAGCTCCTAGTTTTCCTCCTATTGTAACTTTGCGGTAACTTTTCAGAAACATTATTTACATATAAAAGCAAGTGTATGTTTTCTATGTCACTTTAAACAAAGCACCTCTCTGATGTCCCTCACTGTGTCTATTTTTCTAAACTTTTGCTTCTCAAAGTGTGGTCTACAGACCAGTCACATAGGCATCACCTGAAAACTTATTAGAAATGCAAAACCGTGGCTGGGCGGGGTCGCTCACACCTGTAATCACAGCACTTTGGGAGGCCGAGGCGGGCGGATCACCTGAGATCAGGAGTTCAAGAGCAGCCTGGCCAACAAGGTGAAACCTCGTCTCTACTAAAAATGAAAATTAAAAATAAATAAAATTTTAAAAAAGGGCTGGGCACGGTGACTCACGCCTGTAATCCTAACATTTTGAGAGACCAAGGCGGGAGGATCACCCGAGGACAGGAGTTCGAGACCAGCCTGGCCAACATGGTGAAACCCTGTCTCTACTAAAAATACAAAATTAGCCGGACGTGGTGGCACATGCCTGTAATCACAGCTACTTTGGAGGCTGAGGAAGGAGAATCACTTGAACCCGGGAGGTGGAGGTTGCAGTGAGCTGAGATCACGCCACTGCACTCCAGCCTGTGCAATGGGAGCGATACTCCATCTCAAAAAAAAAAAAAAAAAATTAGCTGGGCATAGAGGCACGCGCCTGTAATCCCAGCTACTCTGGGAGGCTGAGGTAGGAGAATTGCTTGAACCCAGGAGGCGGAGGTTGCAGTGAGCTGAGATTGCGCCACTGCACTCCAGCCTGGGCGATAGAGACTATATCTCAAGAAAAAAAGGGGGCCGGGTGCGGTGGCTCACGCCTGTAATCCCAGCACTTTGGGAGGCAAAGGCAGGCGGATCACGAGGTCAGGAGATCGAGACCATCCTGGCTAACCCGGTGAAATCCCGTCTCTACTAAAAAAAAAAAAAAAAAAGTACAAAAAATTAACCAGGGGTGGTGGCGGGCGCCTGCAGTCCCAGCTGCTCGGGAGGCTGAGGTAGGAGAATGGCATGAACCCAGGAGGTGGAGCTTGCTGTGAGCCGAGATCACGCCACTGCAATCCAGCCTGGGCGACAGAGCAAGATTCCATCTCAAAAAAAAAAAAAAAAAAAAAAGAAGAAGAAGAAGGAAAGAAATAATGCAAAACCGTGGCCGGATGCGGTGGCTTACACCTGTAATCCCAGCACTTTGGAAGGCCGAGGTGGGCGGATCACTTGAGGTCAGGAGTTCGAGACTCACCCAGCCAACATGGCGAAACCCCATTTCTACAAAAATACAAAAATTAGCTGGGCGTAGGGGCGTGCGCCTGTGATCCCAACCACTCTGGAGACTGAGGCGGAAGAATTGCTTGAACCTGGGAGGCGTGATTGTGCCTACACTCCAGAATGGGCAACAGAGTGAGACTCTGTCTCAAAAAGAAAAAAAATAATAATAATAAAGAAAGAAAGAAAGAAAGAAAGAAAGAAAGAAAGAAAGAAATGCAAAACCCTGGGCCCCAGCCCAGACTCATTGGGTCAGAACCTGCATTTTGACAAAACTCTCAGGTGATTCAACTGCATGTTAAAGTTTGAGGAGGCTGGGCTCCGTGGCTCATGCCTGTAATCCCAGCATTTTGGGAGGCCAAGGCAGGAGGATCTCTTGACAGGAGCCCAAGGCCAGGAGTTCAAGATTAGCCTGGGCAACACAGTGGGACCCCGTTTCTATAAAAAGAAAAAAAGATATAAAGTTTGAGGAGCCTGCTTGAAGATGTTTCCCTTCTCTGGGGTCCAAGCCAGGACAAGGCTTGGTCTCACTCCTGTCTTCATTCCCCAGGGCCCAGCACAGGGCCTGGCTCCCAGCAGGTGCTTGGTGAACCTGGGCGGACTTGTTCTGAGTTAGATTCAGCCTGCTTTGGGAGTAGAGCATTTGGGGGCCAGAGTTGGCAGTAGGCTAGACTGAGCTCTTGGTGCCCTCTCCTGCCTCCCCAGCTTGACCAATGAGGTGGTCCATACGTGTTCCACCATTGGCAGCAACATGGAGGAGATCATTTTGCAGAAGACCCACTTCCTCGTGTGGGACATAGTGGGGCAGGAGGCTCTGAGCTTTATCACCAACACCTAGGCGAGGAGGGCACCAGGGCTCCAAGGCAGCTGTATGATATCAGACAGTCACGTAACCTCTCTGAGCCTTGGTTCCCCAACTTGTGAAATAGAGATTATAATAATCGGTGGGTTGCTGTGGCTCATGCCTCTAATCCCAGCACTTTGGGAGTCTGAGGCGGGTGGATCACCTGAGGTCATAAGTTCGAAACCAGCCTGGCCAACATGGTAAAACTCCACCTCTACTGAAAATACAAAAATTAGCTGGGCGTGGTGGCAGGCGCCTGTAATCCCAGCTACTTGGGAGGCTGAGACAGGAGAATTGCTTGAACCTGGGAGGCAGAGGTGGCAGTCAGCCGAGATCACGCCATTGAAACTCCAGCCTGGGTGACAGAGCAAGATTCTGCCTCAAAAAAACAAAAGTTATATATACACATATATATAATGATCTCCCTGAGTTGTTGTGAAAATTAAATAACAAACCAATATGTAATGTATGTATGTCAGATACTCAACACAGTGCAGTGCCTGCCTATTAACATGTTTGAATACTTCCTGGCAGCTGCTGGCAGCTTTGTTTGATGCACTGGATGGGGTAGGCCCCTTGTCTATAGGGCCTTACCTTCTTACTCCAGCAGGAGTAGAATTCAGTGGTTTAATTCCTGGACTGAGACAGAGTTGGGTTCCATTTCCAGCACTGCTACTCACCAGCTGTGTGGTCAAGAGCAAGATACGTAGCCTCACGGAGCCTCAGTCTCTTCATTTGTAAAATGGGGATACTAACAGTACCAAGTCCACAGGGTTGTGATGAGGTCTAAATGGAGTCACGAACACCAAGTGCTTATGTAGCATAGCCTCAGCCTCTGCCACACAGCCAGAGGTGTGCTGTTCCCATGTCTGGATAGAAAAGACAATTACAGGCCAGGTGTGGTGACTCGCGCCTGTAATCCTAGCACTCTGGGAGGCCGAGGCAGGAAGGTGACCTGAGGTCAGGAGTTTGAGACCATCCTGGCCAACATGGCGAAACCTCATCGCTACTAAAAATACAAAAATTAGCCAGGTGTGGTGGCACGTGCCTGTAATCCCAGCTGCCAAAGACGATTATAATGGAAGCAGGGTGGTGAAATCTTGAGGCTGCATGGTTTCATTTCTCTGAGCCTGGCGTCTGGGCAGTGCAGAGATGGGGGAAAACATGTTTACCATAGAGAAAGCCTGCCAGTTCGTCATCCTTGTGATTGACAGCATGGACCGGGATCGGCTGCTGACTGCTTGAGAGGAGCTATATAAAATGCTGGCCCATGAGGTAAGCCCCCTACAGTTGGGAGAGGGCCCAGTGGTAGCAACTGTGTGTCCTCAGGCTGGTCACTTAGCCTCTCTGAGATTAATTCCTGGTGTCCCAGTTTCTGAGAGTCTCTATACCAGCAGCATGAGGAGGGCTGGTTTGTCCCTGATGAAGGGCGTCAGTACCCTCAGTGCAATTGACTATAGAAGCCAGAGTTGCTGGTTCAAGTTCTAACTCCATTTTTCATTCACTGTGGGCCTTTGTACAAGTGACTTCACCTCTCTAATCCTCAGTTTCCCCAAGTATAAAATGAGGAGGATCATTAATTCCCACCTATGGGATTGTCATAAAGAGGCTTTCCATGAGCTGCTGGTGTCATTTGATGTGGTTGCTACCATTGTGGCAGAGCCCCCATCTCTGCCTCATCCAGGCGTGGGCCTCTGTTGCTGGGACAGCGGGAGAGGGAGCCAGAGAGCACCTGTGAGGCAGTAGGAAGGAAGGCTGGGCCCTAGCAGGCTGACTGGGGCTGGGCTCCTCTATCCACAGGCTCTGCGGGATGCTTCAGTCCTGATTTTGCCAATAAGCAGGACGTGAAGGACTCTGTGAGGACGGTGGAGATCTCCCATTTCCTTCCTCTCAGGACCAGCAAAGGCCACTGTGCTCCTGTACCCTCACCGGGGAAGGGTTAGTGGCTGCCCCACCTGGATCTCCAGGCCTGGCTGAACCAATGGATGACTGACCATCAGAACCCTTCTTCTGCCTCTCTCCTGTGAGAATCTGGCTCACAGTTGGCTCCTGGGCCAAGCCAATTGGGCATCTCCCCACAGGTGAGATGTGGTGGGTAAGCCACGAGCAGACAGCATCCCTGCTCTCAGGGGCTTGTTCTAGTGGAGAAAGAGGTAGCACTCCACCACCTAAACCCAATAATCTTTTTTTTTTTTTTTTGAGGCAGAGTTTTGCTCTTGTCGCCGAGGCTGGAGTGCGGCCTCAGCTCACTGAAACCTCCGACTCCCACGTTCCACGTTCAAGCAATTCTCCTGCCTCAGCCTCCTGAGTAGCTGGGATTACAGGCGCCCGCCACCACGCCTGGCTAATTTTTATATTTTTAGTAAAGATGGGGTTTCACCATGTTGGCCAGGTTGGTCTTGAACTCTGACCGTGGGTGGTGGCCTCGACTCCCGAAGTGTTGGGATACAGGCATGAATCACCGTGCTTGCGCCATAATCTGAGGTGCTGAGAAGTGATGTGAAGAATCACTGGATACGAGATGGAGGAGGGATAGGTCTGATTCAGTTCTGGCCTCTCCTAAGGAGTAACTGAGTTGAACTGAATGAAGAGAAGGGAGATAGCCACAGGAGACCTGGGGAACAAGCCTTCCAGGCAAGAAATCATTGACTTGCTCTGACCTTCCAGGTTTTTTTTTGAGACGGAGTCTTGCTCTGTCGCCCAGGCTGGAGTGTAGTGGTGTGATCTCGGCTCACTGCAAGCTCTGCCTCCTGGGTTCATGCCTGACCTCCTGGCTCGGCCTCCCAAGCAAGCTGGGACTACAGGCGCCTGCCACTACACCCGGCTAAATTTTGCAGCCTTCATTTTTAGTAGAGACAGGGTTTCACCATCTGCTTAGGATGGTCTTGGCGACTCCTGACCTCGTGATCCGCCCACCTCGGCCTCCAAAGTGCTGGGATTACAGGCATGAGCCACCATGCCCGGCCAGTTTTCTTATCTGTAGAGTAGGGGTTCATTATACCTCCCAGGGTTTCTGTAAAGTAAATGACACCATTCAGTCCACAAATCTTTCTTGAGCACCTCCTTTGTGCAGGGTACTGTTCTAGGCACTGGAGAAGCAACCCGGTGAGCAAAACAGACAAATCCACCCTCATGGAGCTTACTTTCCAGTAGGGAGGCAGATGTAATGGTGAACAGGAAAGATATAGTCAGTTAGAAAATGATGGCTGGGCGGGTGTCATGCCTCAGCATTTTGAGAGCAGTGCTTTAGGCATGCAGTCGAGTTTGGTCAACCTGACCAACATGGAGAAACTCCATCTCTACTACAAGTACAAAAAGTGGCTGGGTGTCGTGGGCATGCTGTAATCCCGGAGTACTCAGGAGGCTGAGGCAGAAAATCATGAACCCCAGAGGCAGAGGTTGCAGTGAGCAGATGCTGTTGCACTCAGCCTGGGCAACAAGTGAAACTCCATCTAAAAAAAAAAAAGAAAATATTGGCAGGCAAGGAGTTTGCAGAAAAAATGGCATACAGTAGAGCAAGACTCTGTCTTTACAAAAAAAAAAAAAAAAGCTGGGTGTGGTGGCACACACCTGTATTCCTAGCTACTCATGAGTTGAGCAGAAAATCACTTTCGAGCCCAGGAGTTTCAGGCTGCAGTGAGCTCTGACCATGTTGCTGCACTCCAGTCTGGGTGACAGAGCAGATCCTGTGGAAAAAAAAAAAAAAAAAAAAAAAAAAAGTGGTAAATGATAAGGTGAAACACAGATTAGGCCAGCATGGTGGTTCATGCCTGTAATTCTAGTTACTGGAGAGTCTGAGGCAGGAGGATGGCTTGGGGCCAGGAGCTGGAGTCCAGCCTGGGCAACATATCCAGACCCCCATTTCCAAACACAAAAACAAAAAAAAAAAAAAGAAAGGGAGATTGGAATTAGTGTGGAGAATGCTGCAATTTTAGGTAAGTTACCTGACAAGGGACACTACAGGCAAGATGGCACAAGGTAATCACCTGGAGGATCTGAAGAAGCTGGGCCACGTAGAAAGGGCCAACATCAGGCCTGGAAGAAGTTTCCTTTCCTCTTACTTGTCAAGTGGAATCACAGCAGGCTGGGTACACAGGTATCTCTTTTTTTTTTTTCGAGGCAGGGTCTCACTCTCTGTCGCCCCCAGGCTGGAGTACAGTTGTGCAAACATGGCTCACTGCCTTCCTTCTTGAGCTCAAGCGATCCTCCTACCTCAGCCTCCTAGTTAGGACTACAGGCGCACACCACCATGCCCTGCTAATTTTTGTATTTTTGTGTAGAGAGGTTTTGCCACGTTGCCCATGGCTGGTCTCAAGCACCTTACCTGGGTTCAAGCGATCCCTACTCAGGCCTCCCAAAGTGTTGGAATTACAGGAGTGAGCTACCACGCCTGGCGGTGTGTTTACTGAGAGGGAGCTTTAGAGCAAGGACCACCACGTTTCTGGCAGTGTACCTAGATCAGGAGAACCCTCTTCCACAACCACAGTCAGTTCAATCAGCATTCTTTTTTTGAGACAGAGTCTGGCTTTGTCGCCCAGGCTGGAGTGCAGTGGCGCGATCTCGGCTCACTGCAAGCTCCGCCACTCCTGGGCTCGAGCCATTCTCCTGCCTCAGCCTCCGGTAACTGGGACTACAGGCGCCGCCACCACGCCCGGCTAATTTCTTGTATTTTTAGTAGAAACGGGGTTTCACCGTGTTAGCCAGGAGGATGGTCTGATCTCTGACCTCGTGATCTGCCTGCCTCGGCCTCCCAAAGTGCTGGGATTACGGGCGTGAGCCACCGCGGCCGGCCAACATTTTTTTTTGAGACAGCGTCTCGCTCTGTCACAGGCTGCCGGGCTACAGTGCAGTGGCTCGTCTCGCTCACTGCAAGCTCCGCCTCCTGGGGTCACGCCATTCCTGCCTGCCTCAGCCTCCCGAGTAGCTGTGATTACAGGCGCCTGCCACCATGCCAGGCTAGTACATATTTTTAGTAAAGATGGGGTTTCACCATGTTGGCCGGGCTGGTCTTGAACTCTTGACGTGGGTGATCCACCGGCCTCGTCAGTGTTGGGATTACAGGCATGAATCACACCATGCTTGGCAGCCATAATCTGAGGTGCTGAGAAGTGATGTGAAGAATCCTGGATACAGAGATGGAGGAGAGGGATAGGTCTGATTCAGTTCTGGCCTCTCCTAAGAGTAACTTTGAGTTGAGACCTGGGCAGAAGAAGGGAGATAGCCACAGGGGAGACCACTGGGAACAAGCCTTCAGGCAGAAATCATTGACTGACTTGCTCTGACCTTCAGGTTTTTTTTTTTTTTTTTTTGAGACGGAGTCTTGCTCTGTCGCCCAGGCTGGAGTGTAGTGGTGTGATCTCGGCTCTGCTGGCTCTGCCTCCTGGGTTCATGCCAATCTCCTGGCTCGGCCTCCCAGTAGCCAGGACTACAGGCGCCTGCCACTGCACCTGGCTAATTACATATTTTTAGTAGAGACGGGGTTTCACCATCTTAGCCAGGATGGTCTTGAACTCCTGACCTCGTGATCCGCCCACCTCGGCCTCCCAAAGTGCTGAGATTACAGGCATGAGCCACCATGCCCGGCTTAGTTTCTTATCTGTAAGTAGGAGGTTCATTATACACTCCCAAAGGTTTCTGTGAAGTAAACTGACACCATTGTTACAAATCTTTCTTGAGCACCTCCTTTGTGCAGGGTACTGTTCTAGGCACTGGAGAAACAGCAGTGAGCAAAACAGACAAAAATCCCTGCCCTCATGGAGCTTACTTTCCAGTAGGGGAGGCAGATGGTGAGCAGAAAGATATGTAGTCAGTTAGAAAATGATGGCTGGGCGCGGTGGCTCATGCCTGTAATCCCAGCATTTTGGGAGGCCAAGGTGGGCAGATCACCTGAGGTCGGGAGTTTGAGACCAGCCTGACCAACATGGAGAAGCTCATCTCTACTACAAGTACAAATTAGCTGGGTGTCGTGGAGCATGCCTGTAATCCCAGGCCTCAGGAGGCTGAGGCAGGAGAATCGCTTGAACCCCAGAGGCAGAGGTTGCAGTGAGCCGAGATCGTGCCACTCTGGGCAACAGAGTGAAACATCCATCTAAAAAAAAAAAAGAAAATGATAAATGACTTGAGCAAGAAGGAGTTTGAGAAAAGCCTTGGCAACAGAGCAAGGCATCCTGTCTTTACAAAAAAAAAAAAAAAAAAAAAAAAAAAAAAGCTGGGTGTGGTGGCACACACCTGTATTCCTAGCTACTCATGAGGTTGAGGCAGGAAAATCCTTTCGAGCCCAGGAGTTTCAGGCTGCAGTGAGCTCTGACCATGTTGCTACTGCACTCAGTCTGGGTGACAGAGCAAGATCCTGTCTGGAAAAAAAAAAAAAAAAAAAGTGGTAAATGATAAGGTGAAACACAGATTAGGCCAGCATGGTGGTTCATGCCTGTAATTCTAGTTACTGGAGAGTCTGAGGCAGGAGGATGGCTTGGGGCCAGGAGCTAGGATCAGCGCAGGCAGCGGCACTATCCAGACCCCATTTCCAAACACAAAAACAAAAAAAGGGAGGTGGAAGTGTGGAGGGAATTGTGCAATTTTAGGTAAGTTACCTGACAGGGACACAGGCAGATAGCTACTGAGGCAATCACCCTGGAGGTCTGAAGAAGCTGGGCCACGTAGAAGAGGGCCTTACATCAGGCCCTGGAAAGTTTCCTTTCCTCTTATAAAATTAAGGTCACAGCAGGCTGGGTACTGGTATCTCTTTTTTTCGAGGGGCAGGGTCTCTGTCGCCTGAGGCTGGGTACAGTTGTGCAAACATGGCTCACTGCAGCTTCAACTTCTTGAGCTCAGATCCTCTATCAGCCTCCTAGTTAGGACTACAGGCGCACACCACTTCCTACTGCATGTTTTGTATTTTGTGAGAGAGGTTTGCCACGTTGCCCATGGCTGTCTCAAACACCTGGGTTCAAGCGATCCCCCTGCCTCGGCCTCCCAAATGTTGGAATTTTGGGGTGGCTGCGCACAATGGGTGTGTTTTACTGAAGAAGGGGAGACTTTGGGCAAGGGACCACACCTGGCAGTGTCCTTGCCACCTGGTCAGAGAACCCTCTTCCACAACCACAGTCAGTTCAATCCCAGCAATTTTTTTGAGACAGGA